ACACAAACAGCCAAACTCCACGATACCCTCATCTTTGGCCGCCGCAAGGTATTGTGGCTAGCAGTCGCGTACACGCTGCAAAACAACCCTACCAATATCTGCCCTACTCCCCCACACAGCCCTGTACACCAAAGCTCAGCATCCGTGCGGACTTTATACCCCAACAAGCTTTATGACCAGTTTTTTTTTTGTGCTCGCGCCTGCGGTCAACAGCTTACCGTTGTGACCTCGCCACAAGACCTCTCGGCCCAGTATCTCCACGTTCCGACACCACCGGTACAATGGCCGACCGAACGCAAATACCGCGCCCTAGCGGCTTACCACGACCTACCTCCCGACTTCCTCTCTACTCGTCCTCCGCAAATGCCCCGTCTGCAGCAGGAACGGCACCGGCCGCATCGTCGCATCCCGCACGACCCATGCCTCTCCGCGCCAAGCCATCGCGGGAAAGCCTCTCCGGAGGAGACTTGCGCAACCCGAAGCTGCGCTCCATGCCGTCACAAGACCGCCTCGGCGGCCTCTCGCCATCCTCCTCGAGCTCGAGCCTCTCCGTAGCCAAAAACGCCATTCGCAACGCGTCACCGCGCACGCGCGCCGTCTCTGGGGAGTTTGCAAAAACAGCACCTCCTCGCAAGACACGAGCCAGCATGGGCGCGCCCCCGTTACCATCGTCTCGGCTAGCCGATGACAGCAATACATTCAATCGACCCGGCACGGCCGGCACGCTGTCACGGCGAATATCTGCGCAGCACCTACCTAGCCGGTCCGCACAACACACACCGACAGTGTCACAGTACTCGACGAGTCCAGACGAAGACGTTTTGGCAGGGGACCACATTGTGGGGTCTACGGAGCTGGAATCGCTGGGGGCGCGTCCTTCTAGAGCACGGCTGTCTCTTGCTGAGCGGACCATGGAGACGCTGGCACAGATCCCCAGCTCACCTGCCGTCAAGGGAAAGACGACTGCATTCTACGACCCAGAGGCGGCACGAATCCCGCAGCGTCCTGGTAGTCGCACGGGCTCGCGCGCTGGTTCTCGGCCAGGGTCCAGTTACCGGTCAGACAGCTCGACCCGGTCGGTTTCTCGGCCACCGAGCCGCCCACGCTCGAGTTCCGGCAACGATGACACCGCTCCCAACGTCCGTTCGTCAGTCAACTCGTTCCGAACTGCCGTTCTGTCGTCGTTTGTTCCCATCGACGAAGTCGCAACCCCCGGCCGTTCCACTGCAACGCGGACTCTGCGTGGTCGTGCTTCGATCGGTCCAGGCGTGGCACCCAGTCACAAGTATGGCGCTCTGAATAGCTTACGAGAGCAGGCAGAGGCACCCTCATTCTTGCCGCCAAGGTCCCGCACACCGAGTCCCGAAAAGTCGTCTGCTGCTCCACCAGATACCCCATCGGCATTCTCGTCCCGTACTGCTACTGCGCCAGGCAGGCTTGCGTCCAAGACCGTTGCTGCCAGGCCACTAAAGTCGCGTGCGTCTATGAGCGGCCTTATTCGCAAGCCGTCTATGAATAGCATGGATGGGTCAACATCGTCTACTGTGGTGGCCTCACCCGCAACAACGCGGAAAAGCTCCATGGCATCGCGGGCTTCGTCCACGTCTTATGAAGACACCGGGGCATCTAATGCGTCCAATGCATCCAATGCGTCAACGGTATCAACGGCTCCGAGCATCGGTTCAGCCGAGCTGACGGGCACGGGCCAAAACCCTGTCAGCAACAGCAGAAAATCGTCCGCAGCATTGCGGGAGCAGATTGCCAGGGCAAAGGCAGCCAAGCGCGTGGCTTCGCAGAACGTGGGTGACAAACCACGCGAATCTCCTGCATCGCCACTGAGCACGCCAGCTGCGTCCTTCTCTAGCTTGGGCGACAGTGCGTTTGATGCGGAGCCGGTCGTGCCCACGGACACAACGTTTGATTTTGGTCTCAACTTGGATCCTTTCAACCGAAACCAAAATGGCGAGACGCCGGCCAAGGTGGTTCTGGCTCGCGTGAATGCCGCGCGAACAAGCGGTCGCCTCAACATCGCCGCCCTGAACCTACGCGACATCCCGGCCGAAGTCATGGGCATGTATGATGCAGATGCCTTGGGGACGTACGATGGATCCTGGGCTGAGACGGTCGATCTGACGCGCTTTGTGGCTGCCGACAACGAGATCGAGATGATTGACGAATCGGTCTTTCCCGACCAGTCTCTCGAAGAATTGGCGGAGATGGAGGACAGCAAAGGCAACATCTTTGGTGGGCTCGAGACGCTGGACCTGCACGGTAACATGTTGATTAGTCTGCCGATGGGCCTCCGGAGACTCCCAGTTTTAACGTCTCTTAACCTGGTGAGTGATTACAACATCCAACATAACTAGGTGGTAAAAGCTATGTGGCGGTTTACTAACACACCATCAGTCGCAAAACCGAATCACGAACAACGCTCTCGAGGTGATCTCCCAAATCCCATCGTTGCGCGACCTGAAGCTGGGCGGAAATCTGTTCTACGGACCACTTGACCCCTCGTTCGCGAAGCTGGAGAACCTAGAGATTGCCGACCTTCACGGGAACAACATCTCGGCTCTGCCGCTGACGCTCAGCAACATGACTAAGCTGCGCATTCTGAACATCAGCGAGAACAACTTTGAGAGCCTGGTGTTTGAGCCGCTGTCCAAGCTGCCACTGGTGGAGCTGAACGTGCGGAAGAACAAGCTCAGTGGTGTCTTGATCGAGGATGCGGTGTCAACGATGCCACACCTGCAGATCCTGGATGTCACGTCAAACCAGATTACGCATCTCGTGTCGACAACGCGCTCGGACGGCGTCGCATTGCCAGCGCTCCAGCAACTGCTCGTCTCCATGAACCGGCTGCAGATGCTGCCCGACATGACCAAGTGGACAGCCCTCATGACCCTGATCGGCGAGGAGAACAGCATCAACAGCATTCCCGACGGATTCACGAGCCTCCGCCACCTCCGCCATGCCGACTTCTCAAGCAACGACATCCGCACAATCTCACCCGAGGTCGGTCGCATGGACAACCTTGCCATGCTGCGGTTGAGCGGCAACCCCCTGCGGGACAAGAAATTCTGCACGGCAGATACCGACGACATCAAGGAGACGCTGGCCGCGCGGCTGGAGCCAGAGCCCGACATGGGCCTGGGCCCTGGCGAGGAGGGGTTCATCCTGAACCCGCAGTCCGACGGGACGCCGAACGAGATGAACGACGAGCTGCGTGATGCAGTGACGGAGCTGTCGACCAAGACGGGCGCACACGGCCCCCAGCGCAGGCGCAGACTGAGCGGCGCCTCTGCTGGAGAACGTGGCGATGACGACCGCGATGACAGCCGGTCGGACGACGAATTTGCGACTCCCCCGACGTCTTTGCCGCACTCACCCGCACGCTCGCGCTCACAGACCGTCTCCAACCAACTTTGGGCCGTGAAGAAGGGCGGCGTCCTTGATCGTTCCGAGACAGAGGCATCCTCGCTGCACCCGGTGATCTCGTCGCGTGTTGCTCAGGAACATACCATCTACGAGATCTACTTGCAGAAGAACTTGTTCACGGCGCTCCCCGACGCGCTGTCCTTCTTTGCGGCCACGCTCACGACGCTGTCGCTGTCCAAGAACCAGCTCAAGGGCGAAGCATATTTTGGTGATGCGGCGGCGAGCGACGGCCTCGAGCTGCCCGTGCTCAAGGAGCTGAACCTGTCATGCAACCACATTACGAGCCTGGGCCCCTTGGTCAAGTGCCTCCGTGCGCCCCGCCTGCAAAAGCTGGACGTCAGCATGAACCGTGTGTCGTCGCTGCCGGCCGACACGCAGCTGCGGGACGCCTTTCCGGCCCTGACGGTGCTGCTGGCCGGCAACAACCACCTGGCCGAGCTGCACCCGGAGAGCATCAAGGGGATGCTGATTGTGGACGTCAGCAACAACGACATTGAGCACCTGAACCCGCGCATCGGTCTGCTGGGCGGCGAGGGCGGCCTGCAGCGGTTCGAGGTGCTGGGCAACCGGTTCCGCGTCCCGCGGTTTAATGTGATTGAGCGGGGCACAGAGGCAACGCTGCGGTGGCTGCGCGGTCGCGTGCCGGTGGCCGAGATGGGTGCTTGGCGCGAAGCCAACCGCAACGGCGATGCTGACGACGATGTTGATTGATGTTTGGAAGGGGCTGTTTTTCTGTTTCTGCCATCGTTCTAGCCAGCGTAGCCGGCGTTGATATGTCTGATATTTCTTGTACTTTTTGAAAAGTTTTGCTGGATTTCATATCTACCTATTTATTGCGTTCATGCACATTTCCTTCAAACACTATGTGTAAAGCGATATTTAAAAGATGAATGATGGTTTTTGTGTTTGTGTATGGTACTTTTCTGGGTGGACAGAAGACAAGGTAATGTGAAAACATTAGTGCGAGGAAGCATAAATAAGAAATGTCACGAAATGTCACGAAAGAGCAAAGACCAGTTGATGGCGACAACAAAAGACATGGAGGAAATAAGAGTATCCCTACGTCATTTTTGGCACATAATAAGATTCGCATCCTATTTTATTCCGTACCTAAGCTACGACGTAAGGACACCTGACAGTGACGATGATCACGATATGGTGAAGAAAAAAAACATTGGAACTTTATCTGCTAGCGTGGTACCACGCCCCGCAAAACCACATACAAAAGGTACTTCCACCATCGTGTAAGTCAACGAACATCGACCAACGATGGCGATATATCAGTCTTGTCAGCGTTCAGCACATAGCTGTGTGCTGAGAAAGCCCGTTTTCTTCACGCGCATATAAATGTGGCTTTGGCTCTGCTTCGTCCTGTCGCACGTCTTTTTTTTTTTGTCTTCATTTCGGTGTCATTTCATCTCATCTTCTCGAGATCGTACTATTGCTTCGGTTCGCATCCAAGACGTCTACCACAATCGTCAGTCTTCTCTAATCGCTCGGTTTACGCATCACCTGATTGCCATATCTATCTACTGTACGGCATACGCACACACAACGCCGTCAAAATGGCGTTCTTCGCCGGAACAGCGGGCTTCCCAGACAGGCTCCCCAACCTGGCCAACCCAGCCGAGCGGCGCCCCCCACCGCCCAACGACGGCAGCGAGAGCTGGCACGCGCACTTGCAGCTGCACTTTACCCAAATCTTCCACGACATGGACTCGCGGGAGCTGTTTACGCACTTTGCCCACCCGCAGTTTTATATCCCTCCGCAAATGGGCGAAGACGACGAAGGCGAGGACGGAGAGGACGGAGAGACGATCGACGACATAGAGGAGGGCGACATGGCAGAGTTGGCAGACCTGGCGCTCGCCTATACCGATGCTGACAGCGTGTATGACGAGAATCGCGGATGGACTCCCGAGAGCATAGCCGCAGTCGCAGACGAATACAATGCCGAGACATTTGGTCTGGCCAGCGGGGAGGACGACGAAGAGGACGAGGACGAGGAGGGCGACGAAGAAGAAGAGGAGGAGCAGGACGACGATGAGGGCGACGAAGACGATCGCGACTTATACGATGTGGAGCACGATCACATGCAGATTGGGTACGATGTCCGCTACCGCTACGAATCCGACGACGCGGATGAAGAGGAACACAGGGCGGGCCTCAGCCCCCTCGAGCTGGCGCGCTATGAAGTCGAACGTGCTCGCGAGGCCCTGCACGACGCTCTGCTGCTCCAGCGCCGCAAGCGGGCCTACTTTGCCCGCCGGCGGTGCGTCCGCATGAAGTACGACAACCAGCCGCAGACCAAGGCCGACGCGCCCTATGCATTTGCGTACGTCTCGACGCTGCACATGGAAGTGTATGTGCGCCTGCTGCGCTTTGCGGACCAGCTGGACGATCCGTCGGTGCCGGTCGCCCCCATCGTGCACGACATGACGCCCTACACGTACGACGAGGAGGCGGAGATGTACGGCGCGTTCTACAAGCCGCCGATGCCCGAGGAGGAGTACGACCGCTACGACGGCAACAACGCGGAGGATCCCGTTGTCGTCCCGCCGCGCGTCGACGTGCCCGAGTACGGCCCGCCACCGGCCTACCTGCCATCGCATGACATGCTGGCGCCGGACATTATGCGCCGTCTCACGTCCCTCGACTATGTGATGCACAACCACCGCCGTATGCGGTTGCCGCTCATGGACCCGGACGCAGAGTGGTGTGAATTTGACCCGCCTCCCCCGTACGCCGGCAAGCCCGACGACGACAACGTGGCCCCGCCGGCATACTACCGCACCGTCGACGAATGCTGCATCGAGCCGGGCCCGTTACACGCTTCGATCCGACGCGAGTTCGAGGCGCTGCGGACCCCCGAGCCGTGGACGGTGGATCGGGGTGTGCTGCAGTTGCGGCTGGACCTGATGGTGGAGGCGTTTGAACGGTATCACTACGGACCGGATGAAGAAGAGGACGATTAAGTCGGTGGCACGTTGGGACGATTGTTTTGGATAGGTTCTAGGTTTGCTAGATCGTGTTCGGTTCATAGACATACGAAATATCCTATACCCATTTTTTTATATTCCGCTCATCCACCAATAGGCAGACGTAGCACCGAGTGGCAACGCATAGATTACTCCCGCACAAACAGCGCCGCCATGCCCATGCCCGTCCCTATGCACATGCTGACGACGCCAATCTCGCCGCCGTCCCGCTGCAGGCCGTGCAGCAGCGTCGACACCATGCGCGCGCCCGTCGCGCCCAGCGGGTGGCCCAGTGCAATGGCGCCGCCGTCGGGGTTGACGAGCGCTGCCGGTCGTGCCGCCAACGACTGGCGGTAGTCGGCGTCTGACTCGGCCCATGCCTTCTCGAGACCCAGCGCGCGCACACAATACACGGCCTGGCTCGCAAAGGCCTCGTTGATCTCCCAGCGGTGCACATCGGCGACGGCCAGGCCGTAGCGCTCGAGCAGCGCGGGGATCGCCAGCGCAGGACCGACGCCCATCTCGTCGGGCTGGCAGCCGACGGTCACAGCGCCGACGAAGCGGCCGATGGGCTGGCTCGACGCATCCATATCAATGGCCGACCGGCGCGCCAGCAGCACCGCGGCCGCACCGTCGCTGACCTGCGACGAGTTGCCGGCCGTGCTGGTGCCGCCTTCGGGCACAAACGCCGGCTTGAGCTTGGCCAGCGCCTCGGCCGTCACGTTGGCACGGATGCCGTCGTCCTGCGTGACCGTGACCTGCTCGATGGGTGCCGGGGGCGCGTCGGCCGGCGCACCCTTGGGCGGCAGCGGCTGGTACTGCGTGGTGACGGCCACGACCTCGCCGGCGTCGCCCTTGCGCGCCGACGCCACAAAATCGCCCGCCGCCGCCGCCCGCGCCGCCCGCCGGTGGCTCGCCAGCGCCATCGCGTCCTGCTCAACCCGGCCCACGCCGTACCGCCGAGCCACGTTCTCGCTCGTCAGGCCCATGGGCATGACGCAGTCGCGCGCGTCCTTGTCCGGCGAGTCGCGGAGGGCCGGCCACGCGTCCACGGGGATCGCCCGGCTGCCGTAGTTGCGCGTCATGCTCTCCATGCCCGCGCCGATGCCCACGTCAATGTCGCCCGCCCGGATCTGGTTCGCCACCGCCGCCACCGCCTGCAGACTCGACGCGCACGCCCGGTTCACCGTGTACAGCGTCGTCGCGCGCGTGTCGTAGCCCACGTGGTTGAGCGCCATGCGCGCCGCCTTGCTGCCGCCCAGCTCCGAGAGCACCACGCCCACGCCCACCTCCTGCACGCGCTGGTGCGCCACGCCGTACCGGTCGGCCGCATGGCGCTTCGTGGCCGCGAGCACCGTGGCCAGCAGCTCTTCCGGGTAGGCGTCCTTGAGGAGGCCGCGGTTGGCCCGGCAGACGGGCGTGCGGACGGCCGACAGCACAACCGTGTCGGTGGGCGTCTTGGTCAGGATGGCGGCGACGCCGCGGGGGACGGCCATTGTGAAAGCGGGACGAGGCGTGTGTGGACGACAACAATGTTGCCGAAGGAAGGCGAAGCAGTGGGAGAGCTTCTGTATGCTGTTGTGAGGCTCGTCGGAGGTGAAAGATGACTAATCCGGGGAAGTAGAAGGACGAAGGAAAGAAATGGGGACGGAACGACTGTGAAAACAGATCTCTCGAGAAAATCCCAGTTGCATTCATAAAACAATGGAGAGGTCCCGGGATATCTCGAGACAACGTGCCGTTGTCCGTGACTTTCGTAAATATAAGCCGGTTAGGAACTGTCCATTTAGTCGGAACGCTCTTTTAGGCGTAGCAGGGGCAGTACGTCCATCTGACGACGCTAAACCACACCAAAACGCTGGCACTGGGGACATGGGCTCCACTAAACTGCCGCAAAATGCGCTAAATGGGCTACAGATTCACTGATCGGGTAGGGGCTTCGGGAACGTCGTCGGGACGCGGGGGAACTCTTTTGGTGGCAACAAAGTGCCAGTGGATGAACACTTATCCCACTGTGGACAGCCCGCCAAAAGCAACAGGAAGCAGAGACCACTGCCGACGACGGAGACGCATTTTCGGCAGTGCCACGAAAACGACAAGGGAGAGCCGAAGGAGAGCAGCTTTAACATCGCATTTCCGGGAGTAGGGCACGGGGCTTGATTAGAAAATACAAAAGCAACACGTCGGATTACATTTTGACGAGTCGAGTAAAATCGTTGGAAAGTCGTGGTATTTGTCATCTAGCTACATATGAGGCCTAAAGCCAAAAGGAAAAGAAAGGAAGCAAAACAAAAATGGTACCGAACCAAAACATCCATCCTCCTTCATGTCGTCTCAAAATAGACGGCAACCCAACACATTTGGCGCAAATGATGCCACTGTCAGAGAAAGGACCAGAAGGAAACACCAAGCATGTGAAGTCCAAAACGTCCAAAAACCAATCCAATCATCAGTCAAACACAGCATCAAGCTCAAAATTAGTCGTACATTACAAAGCAGTCGAACGCAAAATGCAAAGTGCAAATACAGGCTGTCGTAAGATGGAGAGAGGACGCAACAGCAGCACCGCCCAGCATTAATCATATCGAATGCCCAGGCCGACGCGGTCCGGGTCCTGTGCCGCCGACTGGCGCTGGTAGCTGTGGTGGTGGTGGTGATGCCGGTAGCTGTCGGTCGTGTCCCGCAGCGACGGCACGACGCGCACCTTCTTGGTCGGGCTGGCCTGCGGGTGGGCGCTGCCGTGGCGGTCGTCCCCGAGGCCGTGGTGGTGCTCGTGCTCCGCACCGTGCGCAGACGCGTGTGTGGGATGCTGCGCGCCGCTGAACTTGCGCTTGTCGACCGCGCCCGGGCCGTGGCCGGCCTTGTTGACGCCGCCAAACAGCTTCGCCTGCATCTTGCTGCCACTGCTACTACCACCACCAGCCGCCGCGGCCTCTCGTTCTCGGGACGCCTCGCGGGCGGCCGCCACTTCAAAACTCTCGCGCGCATCCCGCCGCAGCATCGCCGACGCCGCCTGGCTCGCCTGGCTCTCAAACACGTGCTCGTCCGCGGCCGTTCCCGAGCTCGACGACGTCGACCGGTCCAGGGGACGCGCGGACCGCGACGTGCCAAACGACGGCGGCGGGAACGACTGCGTCGTCGTCCGTGCCACGCTCTCCAGCGCCTGCCGGGCAATGTCCTCATTGCCACTCAGCGCACGGCCACTGGAGCCACCGGGCCCATGGCCAAGGGTATTGCTGTGACTGTGACTGTGGCTGCCATGCGCATCCTCGTCTACCGAAATGGTGCTCTCCCGGCTGCGGCGGCCACCTGCAGGCGCGCCGGCAGCGCCCTGGTGGCCAGGCAGGCGGTGTCGTGGGCGTGTCGGGGTCTCGGGGAAGTACCGGCCGCTGGCGCTCGTCGTGAAGCCCTGGCTGTGGGAATGGCTCACGCTGTGGCTGTGACCATGCCCCACGCCGTGGCTGCTCGGACCGCCCGACCGCGCCGGCGGCGGCTCTGTCTGCGGCACCAGGTCGACCGACGGCAGCAGACCCGCGTACTCGCCGCCGCGGGGGCGCGACGTCGGTGTGGTCGGCAGCGAGGACAGGGACTGCACATTGCGCACGTGCTTGGCAACATGCCGTGGCGGCGGGCGGTGGCCCGTCAACGGCGTGTTGGGCGCGCTGTTGTTTTCCTGGTTCAGCGCCTGCAGCAGCGCCGCAAACGGTTCGGCGCTGGCGTGGCTGGCGTGACTGCCGTGGTTGGAGGTAGCGGTCGACGTCGACGTCGCCGGTGCGGCCGTGGTCGCGGTGCCGCGCTTGGGGGTCTGGTAGGGTGTGGCCCGCGCGTGGACAGGGGAGCTGTGCGGCTTGGGCGTCATGGCGCCGTGAAACAGACCGCCAGGGCTGCAGAGGAGGTGGAAGTGCTCGCGGTTCTCGCGCAGCCGGTTGAGCAACAGCTCCTTCTCGTCGACAAGCCCGGCCATCTCCTCTTCCTTTTGCTGGATCACCCGCTTGGCCAGCTTCACACGCTTCTGCAGCAACTCGTTCTCTTCCGCGGCCTCGTCGTACCACGTCTTCAGCTGGCGGTACTTGGCTTCGGACGTCTCGGTGGCGCTGCTCGTGCTCAGGTCGCGCCGTGCCTGGCGCGCGCTGTCGGCGGCGCGCAGAGCCTCGACCTCGCGCCGTGTCATCTCGTGCTCAACGGCTGCGCGCTTGGCGTCTTCGTCGGCCTGCAGCGTCAGCAAGTTGTACTGCAGTTTGTGGTGCGCCGTCTCCGTCTTGAGGCGTGTGTGCTCCGCCAAGCTGGCCTGCAGCATGGCGCGGAGCTCGTCGGGGGTCGCATCGGCAATCTGCGCTGGTGTGGGCGGGACGAAATCAGTGGCGCCGCCCACCAGCGGGGACGAGTTACCCGCAACGACGGCGGCAGCAGCAGCAGCAGCAACAGCCGCCGCAGCAGACGAAGCAGCGGGGCCCAGGCCGAGAGCGGCGGCCGCTGCAGCGTCACGTCGTGCTTGTGCGACCGAGGTGAGACCGGTACCAGGCGGGGACGGGATGGCGGAGGATTGGGACACGGCACTGGAGACATGGTTGCCGTTGACGGCGGCGTTCGAGGGGGAGTCGGACGGATGCTGGCGCCGCGGAAGAGGATGCCGTTGCTGCTGTGCGAGCTCTGCGCGGTGTTGTGACGAGGGAGGCGGCGTGAGAGAGGAGGGAATCATGGAAGGAATAGCAGTCTCGACCTCGACGTCAAGGTTCTCGTCTTCGTGGTCGTTGAGCTCCGTGCGGAACGACTCGTCGGCGTCCATGGGCGACCCGGGGCCTTCAGTTGACAGAATGGTCTCCTGCGATGCGGGGATGACCGTCTCGGCGCCCATGGCCGCGCCCAATGGCGTCGACGGCACCTCGACGGAGTTGTGCGGGACATTATCCGAGTCCATATCCATGTCAACAACGGCGTTTGACGCAGCAGCAGCGGCCGCAGCAGGCGTTTGGCCGGACGGAGGCGGTTCTGAATCGGAAGACATTGTGTGTGTATAGAAATGCTGTGCAGGATAGATGTTCTGGCGCTGTTGATAATCAACAACAACCAACTCAGGGCCCGTTTGCCGTTTTTAAGTGTTTTTCGTGCCGGTGATCACGATACGCCGTAAACGGTCGGTGACGTCTGGAATGTGCGCCCGGCGAAGAGCGAGACAACAGCGTGCGCAGCGTGCGGACAGCGTGTCAGGGAAGCCGCTGAAAGCAGCAAAAGAGCAACAACGACAACCGTCAAACGCCCTCACGCGCGCTGGGATGCAGTCGGCCCAACCCTTTTTTGTACAAAATATCGACCGGACCAATGCACTGGCATGCAGCGCCGTTTGAGAGCGGGACGTGTGCGTTTCACGATGAGCAAAGGGCGGCACGTAAGGGAGCGGTGATGAGACGCGGCGCAGAAGACGTTGTATGAGACAGGATGCGGCGGGCGTAGGGTGAGTACCTAAAATGCTGGAGGATAAAAAGTGAAGCAAAAGAATCGGTCAGAGATGGTTTGTGCGCAATTTCCCCGTCGCCTTATTTTTCTGGTCGTTCACCGTTGGGCAAGAACAAGACAGTCGAACGAGGAGGGGGAAGGCACGACTGGTGCACAGCTGCGCTGGTCGATCTGGTTGCCGCAGTGAGGAGAAAGAAACGGGGCCAAAGAACGCACCAGACGCGGGCTAGAGGAGGGACGTGCCATCCATTCCCCTGAAAGCCTGGCGGCGTGGTCCAATCAACGTGGCTGGTTGTCGGACGCGCTAGCCGAGACGCAGGTGATCACGTGTAGCCTTTTCAGGATGCACCAACCAGTTCAATATGCAAGAATCAGGACATGCAATTATACGAATTTCAGAGTACGGATTGCCGCTAATATTTGTCTATCGGTATTACAGGTTCCTACCTCCCCAGTCCCGTCGATCCGTCGCGTCCATCAACTCCATTTACAGCAGCGCAGCAACACCAACGACGGCGGCCGCGCCCAGGAGGCCGCCCGCACCGCTGAGTGCCACAGCACCGGCTGTCGACGCGGTCGCGCCGGTTGTCGTCTTGGTGGGCGGCTTGTTCGTGCCGAACACCGTGCTCGTCTTGCCGTCGGTGACGATGATGCCAGGAGGCAGGGACGTGTTCGTGCCGTTGCCGCCCGCAGGAGGTGTGACCGAGGGAGAAATGGTGGTCGTGGTGCCGCCCGAGCCGGAAATGACAACGATGCCGGGCTCTGACTTCACGTCGGTGGTCGAGGTGGTGGTGGGAGCAGCCGCGGTGCTGGTACCGGACTCGACAGGGGTCGTGGTGGACGCCGTAATAGACACAGCACCGGTGGGCGACGACTCGGCAGACGGGGATGCCGGCGGCTGGCTAACAGCGGTGGATGAGGCAGCCGCGTTGCCGCCAAACCCGGGCAGGAAGCTGGGCGTGACGGTGGCGGTTCCGGTGTAGCCAGGACAGCCCGGCACGGTGGTCTTGGGAGGGGCGCGTCCGCCGCCACAGTCGATAAACTCGCAGAGCTCGCCGGTGCCGGGGACGTACCAGATCAGACTGGCACCGTCGACGCTGGAAGTGCAGCCAGAGAGGTCAGTGCGGGCGAGGACGGCCGCGGGCAGCAGGCCAGCAAGAAGGATGCGAGACAGCATGTTGGTGGTGGAAGGAAACGTAACGAGTGTTTCGAACGAGTGTGATGTCGAGGTCAGACGAACAACAGAACGAATGTGCGAGGTGACAAGGAAACTAAAAGAAACTCAGAAATACAAAGGCTGAAAAACGAAAGAAGACGAGAAAAGAGCCGAACACTGTTAAAGAAGAAACGGAATGAGATGGTAAATAAAAGAATCAAAGACAGAGGCCCCAAAGAAGGAAGGACTAGGCCCTGTTCCAGACAAACGAGACCCCTGACGACGAATGGCTCGGAAGCCTGTGAGTGGAGTGGCCAGTCTCTCCAAAAACCTCGTATTTTCACTTCTTTTTTTGGGTTCTCTCCCTCCTTGTCGTTTTGCTTCCTGTGAGTGCCCACTGTTTTAGTTTGCAAAGCGTGGTTCCTGGTGCCGCTCGACCCGACGATGAGCGTCTGCTCGGCCAAGCCCCCTTGCCAAGCTTTGATTTTAGCTTGGGCCCAGTCGTCCAAGCTTAAAATCTTAAGAAACTAGGGGACGTTAGCACGTTTTGGAAACAGACAAGCACCGATGCAAACGTCGTCCAGGGGAAGTATTACCAACCCCGAAAGAGTGTGCAGTCCGAGATGGGCCGAATGAAGTGGGCTCTAATACCGGGGAAGATTCGACGGATGGAGATTCGAGATTACTATCGGAGATATGAATGTACTGTAAAGTAGATTTGCATGAAAAACAAACAAACCTTCTGTTTGCGAAAAGAATAAACACTCCACAAACCGGAGAAGGTTGTGGAAGCCGGCGGCATTGGTTCACTGGACGGCCTGTCGCCTGTTTCGTTTGGTTGGTTCAGCGATTGCCTGGATTTGTCTCTACGAACCAAAGCCGTCTAAAAGGCGGGACGACCTCGTATTGGGATCACACTTTCGCACGATGTTGCCTGAAGATTGAAGCGAAACTATGCAAGAATCCCACCTTTGAGATATATTTAGCCTAGGGTCAAGATTAAAGGTGAAACAGTAGAAATAGCAAATGCAGCTATTGAAGAGAAGATCTTGGATATGTATGTGTTTTGTTTTTGTTTTTGTTTTTGTTGTCGTTTATTTATTGTTTTTCGTTTTGAAAACAAATTCAACACAAATCCATAAAAAAAGCATTCAAGTTTGCACAGTAAATTTCTATAAAGAAAAAAGGGGGGGTTATGCTCAAATAAAAACAATTAAATTCAACAAACGGATATAAGAAAAGCATCGCATTTGACAAAGTTTGGTCCAACTGACGTGCATTTGACGTCGTTGATACGAAGCAATCGGTCTTTCCTCCGCGCATCCTTCCAATTTTGGATGTCACCACATGCTGTTTTGCCCCACTTTAGCTCTTCCCTCTTCCTCTTCCCCTTCCTCCTCTTGTGTCCCCTTTGCCCCCTCTGCCTCCTCTTGCAGCCCCCTTTCCACCCCTCCCACCTCTGGATCCTCCAGCCTTGTTTGCAGCCGTCTTTCCACTCGCAGCCTTGCCCGCAGCCTTGCCCGCTGCTTTCTTTGGTGCTGCTGCCGTCTTTCGCTTCTTCGCCGGCGCCTTGGTCTTGCCGCCACCGTTGGCCGCCTTGCGTTTGTTGGCGCGATTGGAATTGCCCGGAACCACCATCAAGTCTGCATTGAGGGCCTCGTCACCACAGTCGCCGCCGTCGTCATCGACGTTGGCCGTTATGTCGGGCAGTAGATCTTCGAGCGATGGATCAAGGGGCCCTGGAGGATAGTCTGTGGGCATGGCCGAAGACGCCTCGTCGCTGCAGCCGATGCTCCCTCCGCCGCTGTCCACATCGACATCGACATCGACATCGATCTGCGCACATGCATCCGGCGTCTTCCAGTCGCCTTCCCAGTCGAGAATGATGCCCTGAATGCGGCGGGCGCGTTCATCGAGGCGCGGCCGAAAGCCAAGGTCAGCATTTGTGCCGGCGACCCGACGCAACATGGCCACGACCTCCTGCTGGATCTGTACGAGGCTCTCTTCACAAATTTCCGACACCTTTTCCTTGAACACGCCGATATTCTCGCGGTACTGCATGTCCATGGCCTGCATTGTCTTCTTGACGAGATTTGTCGTGTTCTTCTTGGCGAATTGCTCCATCATGGCCTGGCGCGCGTTGAAGACACCCTTGCCCGACAGGTCGGACGCCGTTTTGAACGTGGTCTTCCAGCCTTTGGCCAGGATGCCTTCCACGAGAATGGCCACGCCCTTGCCCTGCTCAGCAACGTGTTCCATGGCGGTCTGGGCGGCATCGACAGCACAGTCCCGGATGGCAAAGATGGCGAGTAGGTGCTGCCGCAGGTTGGCCTCGGCCTCGCTTCCTGCAAAGAAGGGCGGGAGGCGCACGCGGAGACGGGCCAGTGCGCGGCTCCACGCGTCCAGGAGCAGACGCCGCGCCGTCTCTGTCTCGCGCGGCAGGCGCTCTTGCAGGCTCGCTTCCCACTGGCCCACGACATCGGCCAACACCAGGTCGGTCATGCCGCGCATCCACATGTACGCCCCCGGATGTTTTCCCGCGCTCAGGTAGGGCCCGCCCTGGCGGCGGATGATGGCGGCATGCGTGGCCCAGGGCATGCGCACGCTTTTCCCGTTGACGTCCTTGAGCATTGTCGTGGCGTACATGTCGGGCTTGTGTTTGTTTTTTCCATTGTTTGCGTTGCGGACCGTTGCTCCTTTTGGCAGGCCATTCTTCATGATGGTCCGGAATTGCCAGCTCTTGACGCCCTCCATGACGGCTCGGCGACAAGGGGCACTGAAGGTGGGTCTTTTCGCCTTGCTGACCGTCCCACCCTCACCCGGATCAGCTTCTTCGTCGGCCCCCCCCGATCCCGCTCTTGTGGCCGCTGGCAATACCGCTGGCTGATTGAACGCCGCTTCAATCATGGGATTGCACGTACTGACTTGCACCTCGAGTTTCTTGGTACAGTTGTCGAGGTTCCTACCTAGGACCTCCTGGAATTTGGCAAGAATCTCGCGGACCGCTTCTCCTGGATTGTCGACTACGTGGGCCGCCTGACCACTTGTGGGTGTGACGAGCTCTGGCCCTTGTCCTTCATTTGTATTTGGACCTGCGGACGGCGAAGGGGGGGATGTCAGGACTGGTGCTGGTGCTGATTCCGTTTCCGATACCACGCCGAAGCCTGCCTTCAGCTGGTTCAAAAGAACAGTGAGCCGTTTGAGCAGCGTCGTGGCATGTTTTTGGCGCATCGGTATTGTCGCCGCCCGGATCCACGCTCGCACGGCCGGCACGCCTGTATAGACGACGTTTGGGAATCCCTCCTCGAACTTGGAGCTGCCGCCCCGGCTGCTGCCGTGTCTTTTGTGCTTGCAGATCTTCCAGTACGCCCCAGCGCTGACCGGCAGCACTTCGATGGGTTCTGGCTCTCTGGGTTCGTCGCTAGCGGCTGGAACGACGGGTGCTTCGACTGGGGCAACCGACGATGCTTGTTCCTGGTTGCCGTCACCGGCCGTCTTGTCCTTCGCCTTCCCTTTGCCTTTGGCGCCTGCGTTGGCTTTGGCTTGGGCCCCGACCGTCTTGCGCCGGAACGTCTCTTGGATGCTGCGGCGAATCTTCCTGCTGCGCCACTCGGTTGCACGGAACGCCAGCAGCCCGGTGTAGTGCGTCAGCCATGCCTCCAGCTCCCGCTGCCGCTGGTGCAGTGGCGGCAGAAACGCTTTGGTGCTGACAATTTCAAGGTTCAAGGCCCTCACCTTCTGGCTGGCGTCCGCACCGATGCTGTGCTCCTCCAGCTGGAGGTCGTTGTTCATTTCTACGATGGCGTCGTCGACCTTTTGCAGCTGCTCGGCAACTTTTTCCAGCTGCGCCTCGAGCATGCTATAGACATATGCGTGGTGCGCCAACACGCTGCCGGGTTGTGGCCGCACCGTCGACTTGATGTACTTCTCCCAGTCCAAGTCGTCGGTCTTGGAGGTGACGACGCAGAATTTTCGCTTTCCCAGACGGTTGCTGAGCCGCAAGTGCAGGGTCTCGCTGTCCGACAGCAGATTGACGGCGCAGGATTCGTCGCTGGCACGGATGGCTGGGGTGACGACCATGGTGATGTCGAGCTTGTCGAAGCAGGCCTTGGCAATGTTCGCGCGGTCTTCGTTGGCGTCGCCCAGTCCGGGAAGGTCGGTCAGTACGATGCCGTTGGCCAGAAGGGGAGCATCGCGGAGGTAGATATCGACCTGATCGACAATGGGCCAGAGGACTGTGGGCATATTGAATGCGACGACGTCGTCCTCGTCTTCTTCCCCTTGCTCGCTACCTCCACTATCTTCATCTTCGTCTCCTGCTTCTTCGTCGTCCTCTCCCTCCTCTCCTTCGACTTCCTCTTCACCGTCCTCTTCCCCTTCCTCATTTTCGTCGTCGTCGTCGTCGTCGTCGCTCTCCCCCTCCTCCCCATCCTTGTTGTCAAAATCATCGAAGTCATAGTCGTCTGGAATGGGTGTGCTGTCGAGGTAAGGCTTCACGGCCCTGGAGAATGCCCCAGCCTCCTCGCCAAAGACCGTCTTGGTGCGCCCGACGCACTTGACGATGGGGAACTTGTCCTTGTTGAGCAGCTTCTTGACAGTCCAACCGTGCAGGTGTTCGAGGCCGAGGCCAAAAACAGCCTCGACACAGACGAGTTTGTCGACGAGGCCCTGTTCGTCAAACTCTTCATCGAAAGAATCGGCGGTTACGCTGTCGACGTCTGTCTCGCGCCGTTTTATTTCCTTTTCTTTGGCCTTTTCGTTCCGTCTCGCTTCTCTTTCGTCTGCCGTTTCCTTTTCTGCCTCCAGACGCTTCTTGCGCTGCTCCTTTGTTTCGTTGGGTGGGATGTACTCGCCATCTGAACCGTCGTCGGCGCCGGACTCGCAGTCGTCGTCATCGTCGTCGTCGGTGTCTGGTTCGCGGCCGGCGTTGGCCGCTTCTCGCCGTGCCTGTCGGTCCTTGTACTGGTAGTAATCTGTCACATCCGCCAGGATCGGCTCCAGCCACTTGCACATGCCCTCTTCGGTCTTGAACGTGACGACTGCACGGAAGGGGACGACGTCCGCCTCTGTGCCCGTCTCTTTGTCGGTTGCTCTGGCCTTATGCACGCGGCACACCGTGGCCGTCGCGGCGCCGTCGCTGCCCGACGGCAGCAGCTCGTCCATGTTCAGCAAGGCGTTGATGAGCGTCGTCTTGCCGGCGCCCGTGCCACCCGACACGCCAACATGCACCGCGAACGTGTCTTGCGCCTCACAGATTCGGGCAAACTCGCGTTTCCAGTATGCTGCGTTGATGCGTGCGTCGGCGGCCGACCCCGACGACAGGGCGGCCACCACCTTGTGGCACATGGCCGTGGCACTGGTGACGGCTTCCTCCAGGACGCAGATGCCGCGGCCTTCGGTCATGGCGTCGATATCGTTCCATGCGTAGCCGGGTCCCTGGACGGAGAAACTGTTTTCCACGTCGTCAATTTCGAGGTCTAGGTCCTCTTGGTCGACCTCTGGATGTCGGTCGACAAAGATGGAGTCGTTGGCATCGGCGTTGACATCGGTGTTGGCAACGGCGCTGGTATCGGCGGCCGTGTCAATGTCCATGGCTGGCAATTGAGCGGGCACCTGGGGTGCATCGGCCCGGGCTGCATCGGTGTGCGCTGCTTCTCCCGGCTCTTGGCGCAGTGACTCTGCGCGCAGTGCAGCTGCCAGTTGGGCTGCGACCGCCTCTTCCGGTGCAACTGCTGGAGCAGATGACGAAGGACCTACATGACTTCGTTTGTTCTCATGACCTGTGGTATTTGCATTGTCTTTGTCGACTTCCGAAGCTTCTTCCTGTGGTATGTTCGGGTCCATGGCCATGGCCACTTCCGTAGTCCCGATGCCGGTTTCCCCAGAATTCGAGTCCATGATCTTCCCACTTGTAGTGGACACGGGAGTCACGATATCGACCGTAGCCATTACATTGGTTGCCACCATTGCTTCGGAGTTCATGTCCACTGGAGTGTTCCGTCGTGCATCTGTAATCTTGTCGCTGGTTGTATGGTTTGTGCTACTACCCATGCCAACGTCCATGGCCAAACCAACGCCGCTTGCCTCCAAGATGTTGCCATTGGCGGCCTGCTTGCTCGCTCCCTCGTCGCCCAACACGCCCGCCTCGGTGACTAAAGCCTCCGTCTGGCCAGCGTCGGTTCCTGTGTCTGTGCGCGCGTTTGTTTGAGCCGCTGTGGCATTGTTGTCTGCCCGTTCTGGTGAGGGGGTCTCCTTGCTGTCGTCTGGAGCATCAGTGACGACTAGTTTGTTTAGCCAGTCATCGCCCAATGCTGTAAAATGGGCCTCACACGAAGACATTGTAGAATGGTGTTCTGCGGCGGGAGGATCTTCCAAAGGCTGTATTTCGACACCCTGGTCCATGGAGAACATGTCTGGCTGGTCAAGGGTGTGTTCGTAGATGGCCGATAGATCGATGCTGTCGAAGTCGACGCCGGCAAACAGGTCCTGAAGCGGCAGTTTGTTGGGGCGGGCCGCGCCTGTCTGATCCACTTGATGTTGTTGGGCATGATGCGCTGCCACGACTGCCACGGCTTTCGTGTTGTGTGCTGCCGTGTTGTCTCTGCTGTCAGCTGTGACCCGGCTGTCCTCTTGCTTGGGAAACGGTAGAATCGAAAATACGCCGCCAACTTGGCCATCGTGCAGGATGGGCGCGGAGAGTGGCTCTACTTCCTTGACGGTGTCGTCTTCCTTTTTCACGTTGACATTGGGTTCGTGCACGCGTGGTTTGTTTGTGACCGTCGGCAGAGCATCTGCTACATCATCGATGAAAATGGGCATTGTGGCGGTACTACCTGCATTGACCGGCCAGGCTGCTCTTCTCTCCGTTGTGGTTGACACTGCTGCACCGTCGTCGACGTGGCTGTCTGTGATGGTCCGGTCGTCATCGTCATCAATGTCTGTAATCGTTCTGTCGTCGTCAACTGCGTCTGGGATGATCGCAACGTCGTCTATGGCGACAGCCACTTGAGATGACTGGTGCGCTGAGGTTGTCTGCGCGTCGGCCATGGCTGTGATCGTTGGAACTTGGAGCTTGTTTCAGATCGGTCTGATGGAGAGTTGAGATGTGGAGGGACGAATGAAGAGGCAGTAACTTGTTTAAATCAACGCTAAAGGAGAGAGCATTGATGCACGTTAGGGTTGACAACGTCGTGGTGACACAATCACTTGTGCCCTCTGCGCAACAGCGTGTTGCTGTCAAAGAGTTGAGGGAAAAGAAATTAGAAGAACGGAAATGCCCTCTACACGAGGCTCTCTGCCGCAACTGGATTGTGAGCAGGACTTCGGACGGAATAAGGTGAGGTGAGGTGAGGCTGAGATATGTTGTGGTGCTTGAACCTTGAAGCTTCAGCCGATAAGTTCCTGACACGAGACTGAGAATAGCAACTTGGGATGGAAAAGGCAATGGAAAGGTGAGACGAAATTGTTTACAAACTTGGACAAACTTGAGATACATTCATACTTGTGCATGCATTGCTTACACGGAAAGTTTGTTTGTGGATGCATTTCCCGGTCCCTCACACGGCCACCGACTTATTAGAGGGATTGCATTGCGCCATATACGGAGACACGATGTGCATGATCCAAGATGTAGCACACCCTTATTGACACAATTGAGGCCTTTGCCTCATTGGATTGTTCGTATTGCTCATCATATTGCACTCAACTTCCGTTCACAACCAAAGCCACGACGCCCTGGACGTTACTGTGGCATTAGAATTTATTTTCATTTCCGCATGTCGCTACAGACAGCACTGAAGATTTATCAACCGATAGCGGGACGTGTGGACCAGCAACGCTGGAAGCTCAACAAATTTACAGCGCCCAAGGCGCAGGATAGCGGGTTTTGCAATGTCGGCACAGCGGCTTTAGGGGTCGCGACGGAGCACGTTCGCGCTCGCCGTGTAAGTCGACTACTAAAACTGTATTGGTGTGGGCATAGTAAGTCAGGTCACCGCATAAAAGTCTGTTAGTTGCCGCGGCTGCCAAGAATCGGATATTACGACTTTAGTCACTCCCGATGGTGTAGCTGGTGATCACGTTCGACTGTAATGGCTACATTGTTATCGAAAAGTCGCCGATTCGACTTCGGCTCGGGAGATTCCGAGTTTATTTTTGTTTTTGCCGACGATTTTTTCATTTGTTGCAACTTGGCTTTCGTTCATTTTTGGCAAACAACGACATTACGAATTTTGAGTACAAAGTTACAAATTGCAGAGAGAGAACATGAGCGTCCATCAGGTAGCTGCGGCGGTGACGTCCAACCGATGGAATTTAGAATTGGAGACTACGAATATGAAGACGAACAAAAAAACTCGATTTAGGAAAAGTCATACCACTTCACCAGACTTGTAATAGTAGCCTTTACAAGGATCCTTCTAAGAATCGCAAAAAAAAAAAAGTCGCTTCCATAAAGTCACGATTCGACCACGATACCACCGCCCTTCCGGCTGCCTAGCGCCACTTGCGTGTTCTCTTTCTCGTGCCCATCACAGTCGCGTCAGTTTCACCCTCCTTTGATCCTTGCGCGGATCATGCTTTCAACTGGGCAAGGGTCGTCTTTCAGATCGTCATGACCGTCTTTCCGTGGGAACCAAGGCTTGTCGTCGTCCCCTCCAGTCGTCATATTGCATAGAGCGCTATAACGTTGACCTAACATACCTTCGGTGTCAAAATGTCGCAAATGCTTAACGTGCCATCTTGGCCAAACGCTGTGCCAGTGCTCGTTTTCGTACTGGAAGGCGCAAAATGCGTCCTTTCCTTTCTTTTTTTGACCCGTGCCCGAACAAGATCCGTTCCAATGACAGCGTCCGTTGCCATTCTTTCTGTGAGAAATTACACAAATCAGGGCTCGCTGCATCAAGGATATACCAATACCAATGTCAGTGAATGGTTAGAAAAGGCATCCGAGAATACTCCAAGAAATATTTACATGGGAGCCTGATGCTCTTGTGAGAGTACAGCCGGACTGGCCAAAAGGAGGTGCCGTATATGGTGTCGGATAAAGAGAGCTGTGAATTGGCGCAGTTCTCACGATAGGTGGTTGCTTAAAAGTGTATTGGGATGTGGTCGAGTGGTCTGGAGTTGCTCTGTTAGAGTTGTGGAAGGGAGTTTAGTCAACTAACTAGTTGAGAAGAGATGAAGAGAAGAGGCTGGAAGAAGTAGACGCTGTGTGCGTGAGGCGACAAAAAAAGATGGACGTCAGGATATCTGTGAACGAGGTGACTCAACAGGGCGAATCAACGTTATCATGACCGACAGCTGCTAATCATTGAGGGTAAGGAATCCGTGAATGAATTGCAGGTGACAGGATTAATGTAGGATGTCTGGTACGGAGATGAAAGAGAGAGTGTGAAGATAACGCAGAGGAGAAGATAAAAGAGAGACGAATATGTCGCAGTTGGAGGAAGGTGTAGAGGACGAGAGGAAAGGATGAAGAAGGGTAAGTGAGACGTTTATGGTGGGGAAGGGTTCCGTTTAAAATGTAATACTTAGAGGTAAGCGACGAGGACAGTAAGAAGGTAAACGTAAGACGAAGACTATCCGTCTACGATTTGAAGTGAACGTGAGAGTTCGTCCGAAGTGAAAACAAGTAAAAGTGAGTACGGGATAAAAGTGAGTACGGGATAAAAGTGAGTACGGGATAAAAGTGAATACGAGATAAAAGTGAATATGAGATAAAAGTGAGAAGAGTATCGTAGATTTTGAGTACAGAGATACAAATTGCAGATGTAGAACATGTTTCCCGGTTGGATATGTTCGTTCACGGTCGCAGCCGATGTTCATGTCCTCCATTTTGGCATCTTCGTTCCGACACGCCCTCAACAGACTTCCATCCCGCCACCACACTTCTCACTCTACTTCGCGAACAGCCGGCAACTGGGCCGACTTGACGTCTGCGGCATCGCCCAGGTCCAAGCCGCTTTCCTTGACGCCGGCGACGGCGACCTCGCCAATGTCGACGGCGTCGGGCCCGTCAAAGAACCGTGCGATTTCCTCCATGGGGGTGTAGCGGGTCTCGATGACAAAGGCCCAGATGACCCAGATCTCAAAGGTAATGAAGACGCAGTAGACAATGTAGTACTTCCAGTGGATGGCGTCGAGAGCAATGCCGTTGATGTACTGGTTAAAGAAGAGCGCGAGGCAGACGCAAAAGTTGAGCCAGGTGTAGCCCTTGGCACGAAGGCCGTAGGGCAAGATCTCGGTGGTGTAGTTGGCCATGATGCCGGACCTGTGGCATGATGCGTGCGGTCAGTAGGATACAGGAACAAGAATGGAGGGGCGGTGGACCGTGCAGCGGCAGGCGAGGGACAGCGTACTTGATACCATAGGCAATGGTGTAGAGGTAGGTGAAGAGGATGAAGGCCGCCGCGAGACCTTTGCTGGGCGCAATGTCGCTGCGGGCCGAGATAATGGTCCACGGCACAAACGCCACCAGCGTGCCAATCGTGGAGGCCAGGTACAGCGGCCGACGGCCGAACAGGTCGGCGACAAACGAGAGGCCGATGTTGACGACCAGCCCCAAGGTGTTCATGCCGGCATTGACGCCGAGCTGCGTCTGCGCGCTGGAGATACCGACGGCGTCCATCACGTAGGTCAAATAATAGGAGATCAGCCCATTTCCTGACCACTGACTGAAGAACGCGAGGGCCGTGATGATGCCGATGCGTTTGCGGTTGCCCGGCGTGCGGACCAGATCGAGCCAGGCGGTCTGATTGGCCTCCTTGTCCATGGCAATGGCGATTTTGATTTCCGAAAATTCGAGCTGCACAAACTCGTCGTCGGCATCGCCCTCGGCGTGGTAGCGCACGAGAATGTCGCGGGCCTCGTCCACGCGGTTCTTGTAAATCAACCAACGCGGGCTTTCCGGAATCCAGAAGAGTGTCGCCAAAATGACGATCGTGCAGAGACCCTGTAGCAAACTCGGCAGGCGCCATGCCCAGTCGCTCTACGCGGGAGTACCCGTGTGTCAGTCTAGGAAGGAGGGAAGGAAGGAGGGAACAACAACAGCAACAACGCAGAGAACGCACCTGAATTTGGAGCGTGCCGTAGGTGACCCAGCTGGCAATAAAGGCGCCCGACTGGTAGGACGAGGCGCTCAGCGTGACGAGCACGGCGCGGTCCTGCGGGTGCGCAATCTCGGCAATCAGCAGCGGCGCCGCGCCCATGACAATGGTGTTGCCGAACCCGAGCACCAGGCGCGCCGCAATAAACATGCCAAAGTTCTGGGCGCCCGACTGCAGGCCAATGGCCAGGAGCATAATGAGACAGCCCACGAATAGGCCCAGCTTGCGGCCGTACCAGTCGATCAGGTACGGCACGGGCAGCTGGCCGACAATGGACCCGAGGCTCATGGACGCGTTGAACAGGCCCAGCAGCGAGCCGTGCGGATGGTCGAAGAAATTCTGCCAGTACGACAGCGTCTGCAGTCCGTTCATCATGGAGCCGTCAAAGCCGTTGGCCGTGTTGGTGGCGATGAGGACGACAATGTAGATGTAGAGGCGGCGCATGTTGGGCCGCTTGTACCAGGTGGCCCGCGGGAACACGCGGTGCGCAAAGAAAAAGTGGCCCTTGGGCGGCTTCTCCGGCGCGGCCACGGCGCTCGACGGCGCACCGACATGGACTCCCATGATGGACGCAAGACAATAGGATGAAAAGACAATAAAACGTGGAGGGATATGGACTGAACTCGTCGTATATGGTGTGCGTCTGTGGATATTGCTATTGTGGAACGACTTGGCGACCAGCTTTGCAATATATGCATCTTCAGACTTACACGCGCCTACAACGTGAAGAGTACGTCTCCATGTGTTGTGAGACGGGTTCTTACCGCATATGGCCATGGCATGCGCGGAGTGAGAATCCGGGGTAATGTGGGGAACGTCGGGGAAGACCCTTGGGCGCCTACTGCGTGTACGCGTATGCAGGTGCTTGTCAACACGGCATCTGCCCATGGATAATTTAGGCTAATTCTTTATGTGTGGTACGAGTGCGGGGACACAACAGTAGCGACAACAGGACCATGGCTTGGTGATGATGGAATTGTTTGTTGAGAAGACAGAGAGGCAGAGAGAGTCGTGGTCGCGATTGAATTGTTCTTTGTTTGGATATTACGCAAGCGAGCAGAACGAGGTCGTGTTTATAAACAGGCTAAATAAAAGTCAAGTAGAAAAAGAGACGCGCGGGGATGCAAGGAGAAAACAGGTAACGGAGAAACATCTCCAAGGCGAACGGTGGAGTGGAAATGAATGGCGAGAGCCATCCATGTTGGCGATGATGCCGATGAAGATGGCCAAACAAAGAAAGGCCACTGCAATATGTCGTTTGCCCTAACAGTCTACCGCAACGAACCACATTCATATACGAAATACGTCATACAACGGCTAAATTGCCATGAGTTGGAGTATCCTTGTCGCGTCGTATCGGGGTATATTGCGTCGTAATGTCGTCCAACCCTTGTCCTTTGTCGAGCATTTCGATGTGCTGCTCGCTTTTGGACAACATCCTCGTCATACCAAGGTCGGCTTCATCACAGAACATGCCCTCGTCAACTCCCCAACGAACCAAACCAGACCCCGCAGTGTCCTAACTACGTTACCGGGTAAAGAAGAACAGAATAAAGAGAGATCTCGGTTCAGACGGCAGCGGACTGTTGAGAAGGCATGGCGGAGTGAATTCCGTGTTCATATGGTAGAGATCTTTTGTGTCTGTTTAAGATAGTACCCCTGCTTACAGTTTGTATTTTAACGAGACGACTCGCAAAGAATGATAGACCCCAATAACAAGCAACGACAAACGGCACACAAACAAAACATTCGTCACAACACCCTCCAACCATAGCATGGCAGCCCCCGTCAACCCCATCATTCCCGGCTTTTCGCCCGACCCCTCCATTGTGAAGGTCGGCGAATGGTTCTTCCTTGTCAATTCGACCTTTCACATGTTTCCTGGCCTGCCCATCTACGCATCCCAGGATCTTGTCTCATGGAAGCAAATCGGTACGTCCACCTTCCGACTTTTTAAATCTACATCGTAACTCCTCTTACAAGTAACATGTAGGAAACGCAATTCACCGGCAGAGCCAGCTCAGCCTGGCCAAAGCCGACACACGGCTCACGCCGCTGTACGATGGCGACACGCTGACGGAGGTCATGGCCAGCACGGGCGGCCTGTATGCACCGACGATCCGGCACCACAATGGCACCTTTTACGTCGTGTGCACCAACGTGATCCGCACGGCGGCCGGCGAGGGCCGTGACGAACAGCCTAACGAGGAAACGGAAAACTTTATTGTGTCCACGCAGGACATTTGGGCCGGCCACTGGAGCGACCCCGTTCCCTTCCAGTTCAGTGGCATTGACCCGAGTCTCTTTTTTGACGACGACGGCAAGGTCTACGTCCACGGCTCGGCGGGCCCCGGGCCGTACACGACGATCCGGCAGTTCCAGATCGACCTGGCGACCGGCGCGGCGCTCTCGGAGGAGCGTCTGCTCTGGAAAGGCACGGGGGGCATCTACCCCGAAGGCCCGCACATGTACCGGCGCAACGGGTGGTACTACCTCGTGATCTCCGAGGGCGGCACGCACGAGGGCCACATGATTACGACGGCGCGGTCCAGGAGCGTGTGGGGCCCGTACGAGGCGTACGAGCACAACCCAATCCTGACGGCCAAGGGCACGGACGCGTACATCCGCTACACGGGCCACTGCGACCTGGTCGAGGACGACCAGGGCCAGTGGTGGGGCGTGTGTCTGGGCGTGCGCAAAGACGCGGGCGGCCGGTTCATCATGGGCCGCGAGTCGTTTGTGACGCGCGGGACCTGGAGCGACGACGGCTGGCTGACGTTGGAGCGTGTCGCGTCGCATCCCAGCGGCCTGGTGCGGACCACCGCGTCATCCACCGCGTCCACCGCCGAGGGACAGACGGCCGCCGGCAATGTGGACTTCCTCTACATCCGGGACGCGCACCTGGACAACTACACGCTGGCGGGCGACGGGTCGGCCGTCACGCTGACGTCCACACCGGTCGACCTCGCGGCGCCCAACGCATCCCCGACGTTTGTGGGAAAGCGACAGCGGCTGCTGGACGGACAAAGCCGTGTGGCCCTGGCCGCGTGGACCCCCGAGACACTGGCGGCGTGGAAATCGGCCGGCCTCCGATGCGGTCTGGCTGTCTTCAAGGACGAGCACCGCTACACACGCATCTTCCTGGACGCTGCGGGCGACACGCCCAGCATCGTGTTCGAGCTGGTGAACAAGGCCCAGAAGATTGCGCGGACGTCGCGGCACGACCTGCCACAGGCCAGCCGCGCCCTGTCGCTGCGCATCGTCTACACGGAGCGGGAGTACCGCCTGCTCTACGCGGCATCGCTCCGACCAGACAAGGACGAGGGCGAGGACGAGGACTGGACGCCTCTGGATGCCGTCGACACGCTGCAGCTGACCGACCCTGACTTTGTGGGACCTGTCATTGGTGTCTTTGCGACGAGTGCGTCGCAAGCAAAAGGCATGGACGTGGCGCTGCGGGGGCTTTCAATTCAGTAAGGTTACATAGACAAGATCGACGTATGTAGTAAGAGACCATCAAGCTAAAAGAAAGAATAAAACAAAGTGGACCTGACAGGCTCTCCCCATCTCCAGCGCGGTCTACACAGCCACCTGCTTCGGCCAGCTCCCAATCGTAAACTGGCTGTTGCACATGTTGGTCAGCTCCCACGTCTCCGCCGTCAGCCGCCCGCCTTCTTCGCGCTCGTCGGCCTCGTCGCCGGCCGCGCCCGCCACAAACAGCACCGCCATGAAGTGGTCGTCGGTCGCGTGCGCGTCGCGGTACTGCGCGTGCTTCATCAGGCGCGTGGCCGCCCGCCGCAGCGCGGGGCCCTTGTTGCGCGTCATGACGTCCTCGACGGCCTGGCGGAACTCGAGCGCCCACGGCTCCGGCGGGCGCGTCTGCGCAAAGTTGTCGCTGTACTGCAGCATGGGCATCCACTGGTTGCGGTACAGGTTGTGCACGGCGCCGCCGGAGCCGATCAGCAGGAAGCCCTGCGCGCGGAGCGGACGCAGGGCCGCGCCGACTTTCACGTGGTAGTGCGGGTCGAAGCGGGCGTTCATCGAGATGAGCGTCGTCGGGGGGCACGTCGCCGGGTCCGGGAACATGCGGATGAGGACGAGGTACGTGTCGTGGATCCAGTCGAAGGTGTCGTTGCCGCTGGCCTCGAAGCCGCTGGCCTGCAGCAGGCGGATGCACGTCTGTGCCGTCGCCAGGTCCGGCCGCAGCGGGTAGTCGACGTACTTGGACGGGTGCACGTAGGCGACGGGCGACTTGGCCGGCGTCGGGTTCGTGGCCACCTCGATGCGGTCGTGCGGCGCGTCCCAGTGCGCGCCCATCATCACGATGCCCTTGACGCCGTTGGCCAGCGCCTCGTCACCCGCGCGTTTCCAGTAGTCGGCCGCCTCGGACGGCTCGCCGAGCATCATGGTCGACCCATGCGAGAAGAGGTGGACGGGAGCGAGGCCTAGGCGGTTAGTGAGGGATGTAGATAACGATGAACGCCGGCCAAAGGCAACAAGTTGTACGAAACGACAGAGATTGCTACAAAATACATACCCATTTTGACAATGGCGTAGCTTGAAGATCTTGTCCCTTGTTTTGACGATGATTTTTGTTTTCTCTTCTCGAACAGTCTTCTCGAACAGGTCACTTTGCTTCTCCCATCATGTCGTCCACACGGCTACGATCAACGGCAAATCGAATGGACCGACGTTGCAAAGGGTCATTTGAAAACAATATAAAGACTGCAACTCGCCTGCCGTCGGCATGGTCAAAGGACGTCCGCAGACAGCAACTGCTCGCGTCGGCATGTGGAGGAGCCGTCCCGATGGATGCTGTCGCGATAGTGCCTTCCCCACTGACTGTCAAAGCGACAACACTAGCGTCCGCCATGATTCGTTCCTGCCCCTTCCTTCCCCGCACGGGCACCTTCCCCGGGGGCACAGGCCAGGCCCTTCCCCAGACGAAAAAAAGGAGGCAATCCAGCTTCGCCACATCTGTTGTTTTGCTTCGTTCCCCTATCTTCTCCTCGTCTCTTGGTCGGTCCTATTAATACGGGACGTGGCCCGCCATCATTGATTGCGCTTCCGAGGGACGTTTTCTCCCCCACATCCGTTGGTCCTGCCATCCTCCCCTATCGCCTCTGCTCCTCGGGCCAGACCAAAACACGGCGATGGCCGAATACAGAACGAATCCGCTCGCTGCTGGTGCTGCCTCCACGACTGCCGGCGCCATTCTCGCGTCACCAGCTGCGAAGACGGGGACGTCACCAGCAAAGGGGACATCCGCAGGCATCGGAACGGACGACAACAGCAGCCTGTTCCAGTGCGGCTCCTGCAAACGCCAGTACAAGCGGCTGGACCACCTGGCACGACATGTCCGATCACGTAAGCGGAGTCCCCCCTGAGAGTTGGGAGTTCCGTCCCGGTTGGCATGCTGTGACGAGCTGCAGCTTTCCGTACTGACCAACGCAGACACCCAGTCCCGGCCGTATCGCTGCCAAGTCTGCACCAAGGCCTTTGCCAGAGCGTACGTCTCCTAGCTCACCTAATTCGTACTCCTGCTTCCTCCCCCTGCTCCCAGCGCCCCTCGTTTGTTTTGTCCACCACACACACAGTCTGACCAACACCGACAGTGACCTCTTGAAACGACATGCCGCAGGCCATGACCGCTCCGACTCGTCCTCCACGGCAGGCAGCATACGCAGCAATGGCGGCGCCGCATCGTCTGCGCTGCGCGCCTCGATCTCGGCCACCGTCTCGGCCAGCCGCGTCTCCCGTGCCTGCCAGGCCTGCTCGTCCAACCACCTGCGCTGCAGCGAGACCAAGCCATGCCAGCGGTGCACGAGCAAGGGGCTGGTGTGCGTCTGGGACCGCGCTGCCGACATGGTCGTCACGCCACCGGCCACAATCGGGGGGGATGGAGACGGCGATGGGGCAACCAACGATGGCGACGATGGCGACGACGGCGACGATGGCAGCAGTGGCGGCCACGACATGACCGGTGCTTTGGAGGCGAGTCGCGTCACCAACATGACCCAGGACATGACTGCCCACGACATGGACTTGAGCTTAGCGACGCCCATGATGCAGCCAATGCAACATGGAATACAGCATGGAATACAGCATGGACTGCAGCCGATGCACGCGCAGACGCCTCTGCATCCGCAGCCACACGTCGACGACCCTCCCGAGTCGTTTATGCGCATGCTCTCCGCGTTCGACTTTAGCTACAAGGGTGCCAGCGCAACCGCCGCGGCCACCGCCACCGCCACCAACAACGGCATGGTACCGCTCGCCTTGCCGCCGGATAATACCATGATCAACCACATGCCAGGGTACTGGACGCCCATGGGCCTGGGCGCCTCTCTCGAGATGGACGCGGCCGCGTCCGTCAACAATGGCACACTTGATCTCGGGTTCGACGATCTCGACGACATGGACTTTCGCTTTCTGGACGCCTACAACTCGCGCGTGCCGTTTGAGTTTGGTGTCAGTCCGACGGGCGACGGTCTGCACGTAGCGACGACATCAACCCCCTGGCCGGGGTCGGTGCCCGGGGCGGGGCCTGAATTCATACCGACCACGTCGCCCCGCCTCGACAGCGACAGCGACAACAACAACAGCAGCAACAACAGCAGCAACAACAGCAGCAACAACAGCAGCAACAACAGCAACAACAACAGCAACACCTCCCATCACAGCCACCTTACCTCGTCGTCTGCCATCGGAACCGGCTCCGAGGCCTTCCAGCGCCACTACTGGCGCTTCCGTCCCAACGCCCAAGACCATGGCGGTGCCGAAGAACACAACCTGTCCCTGCCGTCCACCACTGTTGTCATGGACCACACGAGCCCCGACTCGCCGCTCGCCCAGCACATGCACCCAAACTCCCACGCCGCTGCCCTGGCCGCCACCCACACCCGCCTCAACAACACCTCGCGCGACAAGATCCTGACCGTCGTGACCTACAACTGCCGCCGTGAAAACGTAGCCCGTGTCGTCACGTCCTTTCCCACCGTCGAGCTGCTCGACACCCTCCTCCAGTTCTACCTCACGTCGCCCGTCGCCCAGGCCTCTGCCTGGCTGCACCTCCCCTCCTTCCACGACAACCCCAATGACTGCCGCCCCGAGCTGCTGGCCGCCCTGGCCGCGGCCGGTGCGGTCCTGACCGCCGACTCCACCCTGTCCAAGCTGGGCTTTGCCATCCAAGAGTGTCTGCGGATTGCCGTCCCGCGCCATTGGGAGCGCGACAATTCGCTGACGCGTGATCTCGAGCTGGCCCACGCGTACCTGCTAACGCTCGACATCGGCCTCTGGAGCGGCCGCAGCCGCAAGGTCGAAATCGCCGAAAGCTTCTTTCTTCCTCTGCTAACGATGCGCCGACGCGACGGCAGCTTCGGACGCGCGCGGCCCGCGCAGCCCACATCACCCGTGACCCCGGACGACGAAGGCGAGGCCTTGCACCAGAAATGGAAGGCCTGGGTCCACCGCGAGGCGGTGACGCGCTTTGCCTTTCGCATCCTGCAGCACGACACCAACACGTCCATGGCGCTGTTGACGCCGCCGCTGGTGTCGTATGCCGAGATCTTGCTGGCGTTTCCGGCGGCCGAAGCGCTGTGGGGGGCCGAGACGGCCGAGCAGTGGAAGCAGCTCTACCTGCAGAGTGCGCGTGCGCGTGGACACGGCGCGGACGGCGGTGCAAGCATGCCCGCGACGCTACCCGCGTTCCTCGAAGACCCCGAGGCGTTTCTGCAGGTCCACTGCGACCGCGTCGACATGGGCGTCGTGTGCGCGACCTTCTTGTCCTGCGCCTGGGGGCTGACCTGGGAGTATGTGCAGATGCGCGTCCTGCAGCGCGAGATGGCGACCACGTCGGCGTCGACGCTGTCCACGACCGCCTCTGCCTTTGCCGGCCGGCGGCGCGGGCACGCGCTGGTCATGGGCGCCCGCCAGGACGAGATCCTCCAGCTCATCCAGTCCTTCCGCCAGGCCACGGCCAGCACCGTGCTCTCGTCGTCGCTGTCCGCGTCCGATCCCACCCTCGGCATGCGCACCGAGCTCGTCCTCATGCACACCCACACCGTCCTCGAGCAGGTCCAGCTGTTTGCCGGCATGGAGGGCCGCGACCAGGCCCGCGCCGTCCACCCCGTCATTGTCGAGTGGGTCGCCTCCGAAGGCGCGCGCACCTCGCTGTGGCACGCCGGCCAGATCCTGCGAGGGACCCGCCAGCTCCCCCGCGGCGTCGTGACCGGCCCCACCGCCGTCATGGTCTACCACGCGGGGCTCACCCTCTGGATCTACGGCGCCGTCGCGGCCAGTCTCCCGCCGGGCGTGGCCAACGACGACAGAGACGTCCTTCTCGACGGCGACGCCGCCGCCGCCGCCGCCGCCGGCGGCACGTCGTCGGCCCTCCAGCGCTTCTTTGTCCGCGGCCAAGGCCGGCCGTGCATTTCCTCAGACACCGGCGAGGTTGTGCCGCTGTCACGCCCGGACAGCGTCATGGCCGTCGTGGCCGGCCTCTTGCGCCACAACCACGGCGCGGGCGCACGGCCGCACATGGTCGAGAGTCTGATCCTGTTGCTGGACGAGATCCAGCGGGCCTCGGCGACCGTGTAGGAAGAGAGTCTGTGTACGGCAGCATTATCGGAGTTCATTTGACGTGGTACCATTTCACCAAGCAGAATAATAATTTGGATCATAATGTAAACGACTGACGCTCCATGTATAACAACGAGTTCTTTTTTGTTTCCAATTGCTCAGAACCCATTCATTTACTTGCTAGACTCGTGCCCGTTGTTAGGAAAAGCAGCATTCGCAGATGTGGTGCATTTAGCATTTGTTCTGTGATGGAAGACGACGTTGCCACAGAGGAACCAAGCAGCGACGCGAAGCCACCTCTCCCATCCCCACCGATGCATTGACAAACGCTGTCGCCGCTGCGGGCGCGTCGTGTTTATGCCAGGTACCAACCCCGGTAGTTCTGCATCCATACGAAGCCGATCGTCGCAATGACATACGAGGCCAGCGCCTCGCGGGTGCCGACGGTGCGGAAGAACAGATGCTCCGTGCTGTAGAGAGCCAGGACGCCGACGAAGGTGAGCGTCGTCAGGTTGTACAGCGCCGGATTAGTGATCTGGTAGGCGGCATACAGGCGGATGAGGCCGGTGTACACGTTTTTGACGCCGTACACGTGAGCCAGCAGGGCGTGCTTGGGCGGCGCCGATGGACCGGAAAACTGCCGCAGGGACGCGATCGGCCGCGTGTAGCAGACCACGGAATGGATCATCGCGGAAACACTCGTCTTAAGAACGGCGGTGTCAGCAGGCTAACTCGGTCGACGCGGGACAGGGGGTTGGGTCTGCTGCTTGGTACGTCTGTCGTTTGGGGAGTGCTCACAAAGAGAAGAAAATAGGGGAGTTGCCCCTTCTCGGTGGATGGGAGGAAGCTCATGGTCTGGGGACGCTTGCTCGGCGGGCGTCTGGAGAATGCTCTGAAGATGCGTTCAAGATATAGTCGCTGATATGGAGGAGACGTTGGCGACAAAACTATTCCAAGTTTTCAGTACTCCGTGAACGACATATATACACCCGTGCTGACAGTTCTTCAGAGCTCCCTTCAGGTTGTAGAAACTTGACTCGTTCACCCTGCGGGCATTGCTCGTCAGCATCCGAATAGGAAATTAGTGGGCCGTTAAACTTCCGAGCTCCGGAAGACGGTAAGCAGACCCGGCAGGACGTGGCTGTTATCAATCGACACAAGCAAAAGGGGATGGCACGCTGGTCAGGAAATAGAAATCGTTACAAACAAACAAAAGTTGTCAGATGAGATGTCAGCTCACGGCAATTTTCCTGACGAACGCGTGCCACTCGACGTGAATGTGACGTAAGACGGATGTGCTGACGTGAAGAGCCCACTAATTTGTTTATTACATCCAATATTTAAAGAAAAATGGAAAAGAATCTATCGTCTACCTGTAATGTCTTAATCTAAACACTACCCTTCTCTTGTTCCGCATCGTCGTGCTCTTGCTGATCATCATCCGGCATTCTCCTGACAAACAGGGTGCACACCATCAACACACCACATACGGCCGTGTAGAAGATCCACATGCGGCGGACGGCTGCCGCAAATTGCGCAGGCGGCGTCGTCGTATCCGTAATGCCCCGCCCGTGCAATCCGTTTTGCAACAGCACCGTACCGACGACAATGGATATGGCGCTGGCCAGGCTCCGCAGAAACGCCGACGCCGACGCCGCCCCTGCGGCATCTTCTGGCCCGACGTGACTCTGCAGCGCGACCAGCGGTGCCTGAAACAGGGGACCCGCGCCGATGCCGATGACGACCAAGTACAGCACAATCTTGACCAAATTGGTGGCCGGTGCGTCGAGGTTGATCAGCAGCCCCGTGCCGAGCGTCATCAGCGCTGCGCCGGCCCACATGGCCACACGGTAGTTGCGCGTGCGGCGGACGGCAAACCCCGACGCCAGCGTGGCGGCCGACAGCGGCAGGACGAGGGCAAACAGGGTCACGCCCGACCGGATCGGGGCAAATCCGAGGCCGACCTGGAAGTAGAGCGGCAGGAAGTAGTCGTAGGAAATAAAGACAAAGTTGTGCAGGACCATGATGAGGAGCGCGGCGATGTTGGTGAGAGAGCCAAAGAGACTGCGGGTCGGCAGGAGGGGGTGCGCGGGCGGGACGATGTGTTCGTACACGGCAAACGCCACGAGCAGCAGGCTGCCGACGACGAGCAGAGCAATCACGGTCGGGGCGGACCAATTGCCTGCTGTGTTGGTCGTGGTGTCCGCACCGGCCTCGAGGCCGTACAGAAAGGCAATCGTGCCGCCGACGACCAAGAACGAACCGACCCAGTCGAGGCTCTTCAGACGGAGGAGGCGCGACAACAGAGTCGGTGACGTCGCGTCCGCTGCCTTTGGCTGGTCCACCTTTAGTGCAAAGACAAGCACCAGCAACGAGACGGCACAGAATGGGAGATTGATCCAGACTGGGGGTGGGAATCGTGTCAGCAGCGGCGGCGTGAAAAAAAAAAAAAAAAAAAAAAAAAAAAGAAAAAGGCATCACTTACAGCACCATCGCCACCCAATCGTCTGGGTAAAGACGCCTCCCAGCACAGGGCCGACACTGCAGGCCACCGCATACACCAGCCCCGTCATCCCGTAGTACTTGGCCCGGTCCGTAGGCAACGTCACCAGGTCGCCAATCACAATCGTCACCAGCACGTTGATGCCGCCGCCGCCCAGCCCCTGCACAATCCGCCCGGCCACCAGGACGCCCGCCGTCTGGGCCACGCCGGCCAGCACGCTGCCCACCAGAAACACCGTGTTCGCGGCCAGAAGCACCGGTCGACGGCCGCCCAGGTCGGGGTCCGACAGTCGTGCCCAGATGGCAATGGAGGCCGTGTTGGCCAGGGTGTAGCCGCTGCCGATCCACGCGTAGACCGCGGCCGACGCGTCCAGGTGCCGCGCCAGCGTGGGCAGGGCCGTGGCCACAATGGTAATGTCGAGCGCCGACAGGAAGAGCGCGAGGCAGAGCGAGAGCATGATGACGCGGCGGCGGGCGGGTGAGACGGGCGGCGGGGAGGGACGCGGCGAGATGGTGGGCGACGGCGGGCCGTCGACGATGGGAACGACGTCGACGTCTGTTTTGGCGGACATGGTGGCTGTTGTAGACGTCCCGCTGAAGTCGATGTAGGTTGTCGAAATACTCTCTACAAAGTCGAAGAATGGGTTGGTAAAAGGAAGAAACTTTGATGTTTGGAAATTTTTGCAAAGGGATGCAATCTGCTTATATCTATGCAGTTGCATCCTCGGGGCGGAGCCGAGGGACTGTCTTGGCAGATGTGAAGGTGACGATGGGGACGATCTTGACAGGTACAATGTGACAAAGAGGAATGATAGTATGTAAATAGTAAACATAGTGTAATTCTGTTCTAGAGGGTATACATACAAAATAGTTTGGAGCAAATATCATTTTGTTAAACTTTACTTTGTTTTTGTTGTTGACTAGGTGCCAAATTTCCATCTAAAACAAGACCCGCTGCGAAGGGTATATCAAACGCAACCAAAAAGCAAACGCTAGACAAATAGACGCCTGAAAATTGGAAAATATAAAGTCCGACAATAACTCAACACGAACCAACTCGCATTTCGATTGTAGTGTCCTCCCTCCTTGATCATCATCTTTCGTCCGTCTTCGAAGCGGTTTTTTGAGTGTCGTGGGCTGGCCGTGAAGAGCCGCGTGGAGATGTGTTTGCTCCCGTTGAATGGGCGAATCTCGTAAAATAGAACGGTCTCGCAATGAAACTCGGTGCTTCGGGGACCGGATCTCGCTGGTCCAAATTGTCGTGTGTTGCGTGATGTGTATCCCGCCACGAAGAGCAGATCTGTTTGCTCAGGTGAGCCGACATGGTATATGTGGGTGCCATGGTAGGGTGTTGTGGGTGTTATGTGTGTGTCGTGAATATACGCGGAATGTTTGTTATGGAGGAATAGGTTCCTATGTCAGATGTTGGAGGGGAAGAAATATTCAGGTTTTTTTTTTTTGGTAAAAAAAGCCGTTGACTAATTCCTGGATTCGTTGTCTGCATGATGCAACGACCTCAGTAATCGACCCCAGCAACGACCTCGACGTATTTTGTATCTGCGTGCCACTGTGCGTTTGCACAGGCGTTAGTCCGATCCGAGGTTCCACTCAGAACACACGGCCTCGTGGTACTTGCTCATCCTTATTGATACAGTGCGGGCTGTCTACGGACACATGTTTACGTTTGGTGGCTTAATCCAAGAGGTATGCTGGTGCTCACTTAGTGAGGTGGAAAGTATCAATGATGCAAATAATGTGACTTCGAGGAAGCCACTACTCACGAACATTAGACTGATATCTCGCTGTCGTATCATTGTCACAATCCACAGACGACAAACATCTTCACTTGCCGTTCCTCTTGCCGTCCTTTTGAGCTTCGTCGCATCCTTGACCACCTCCGGACACTTCCCCCACATCGCGATCCATCCAAGGCAAAGGGCATTATGGACAGGCAAGGGGTACGCCCCACGAATGTGGAATCTGGACATCCCCACAGGAAACGACCTGGAAAAGAAGCCAATAAAGACAGTCTTGTTTCTCATATCCTCGTGATGGTGTAGTGTGTCTCGTGGGGACAGGGGCCTCGGAGGAGTAGCGTCTCGGTTTATTAGCGCTTCGGTATTAGTGTCATTTACTCCGTGTAAGCTGCTAATGTGTCTCGGTTCCGAGCCGAGACCTTTCTGTGAGTGCCAAAACGGAACGCCCGTCACGTCGAATCCGAGGTAGCTCTCTGCAGTGGTCTCCCGCGCCGTTTCGGAGACACGCTCCGGATGGCGATGGTATGACGTCGTGTGTCTGTTTTGCCTCAATATTGTCGAACATCGTCATGATATTAAAGGAAGACGGGGAGGTGCAACAGAGTTTCAACAAGTCTACCAGCAGCTACATCGCAACGATAACACAACATGGCCACCGAAACGATTACTGCCACGACCGACGACGCTGCCTCGCGTCATCCTGTCCGCATGCGCATGGACGGCACCGACGCGACCTACGGCGACTGGCGCGACGATCTCCTGCGCGATGGGTACGCGGTCGTCAAGGGCGCCATCCCGCGCGAGCGTGCTCTGGCCTACGCAGACAAAATGTACTCGCTGATTGAGTCCTTGTACGTTTCACTCCTATGCCATCACTGGTTTTCGCTGCCGTCTTCGCTTCGCTCGCTCACAAACTGCCAGCGGCCTCGGCTACGACCGCAACGACCCGGCCACTGTCCACCCCGACAAGCTCCCCGTCGTCAACGAAAAGGGCATGCTCATCAACTACGGCGCGTGCCACGAAGACTTTGTCTGGGCGGTCCGTGCCGAGCCGGGCGTCGTCGACACCTTCGCCAAGGTCTACGGCACGGACGACCTGCTCGTCTCGTTTGACGCCATCAACTACGGCTTTGCCAACCGCGCCAACCTGCCCGCCAACACGCCGTGGCCGCACCAGGACCAGGACCCCGACCGGCCGGGCTTCCGCTGCCTGCAGGGCCTCGTGAACCTGCTGCCCAACGGCCCGGAGGACGGCGGCCTCATTGTGTGCCGCGGCGCCCACAACACCAGCCAGCAGTTCCACGACGCCATGCGCGGCACCGAGGACCGCATACCCGCCTGGACCAAGGAGTGGTACGGCTACACCGACCGGGGCATGGCCTGGCTCCGGGACCACGGGCACGCGTGGATCAAGGTCGAGGCCGAGCCCGGCGACCTGCTGCTCTGGGACTCCCGCACGCCGCACTACAACGTGCCGGCCCAGAAGCAGCAGGACCGGCTGGCCATCTACACGTGCTTCATGCCCGTGGCGGACGCGACGCAGGACGACCTGAAACGCAAGCGGGCCGCGTACGAGGCGCGGCTGGGCACGACGCACTGGCCGAACGCCATGCACACGGGCTCGAACCAGGCGCTGCGCAACGGCAAGCCGGACACGGTGCAGCGCGCGTGGCCGCTGAACGATGCGACGCTGAGCGAGCGGGCCTTTAAGCTGACGGGCATTCCCTATATCCAGGCGGAGGTATGACCGACAGGCTGTGTAGCAAAAAGAGAGTGGATAGTTGGGATGTCTTGTGTAGAGTAGTGTTTTCGGATTAGAATGAACAAACATTGTCTTTCTTGCGAGAACTGCGAAATGGGCCTCGGAGCAGAATACACACGCATTTCTCAACAATCTAGTTCAGTGGCCGTCTTTGGGTGTTTTCCGCACTCATAAAGCCCATTTATCATTTGTTCGGACCCGATCCGGTGGTGCTCCTTGACTTGCTCCTCTCCCGCGGCGACCTCCTCCACCTACCGTTCCGTGGGATTTCGGCGCCATAAAAAACATCGCCTAGGTTCCCCGCACACCAAAAAAAAACCAAGCCAGCAAATGAATTCAGTTTAGTCTACTTCATTGCAGGTGTCCACACACACCCCGGATCCCCCTACCCTAGGCCATGCATTGCCGAGCTCGTCAAGCGGTTCTCCTCATTCTCCTTGGGGGAAACTCGTGTGTGTCGTGCGTGCCTCGACTCCGTACTGTCTGGTTCGGTTCATCGACGGGGGAATGGGAAAATGACTTATATATTGCGGCTGGCCAAGTGATGGAATGGACATGACGACACAGAGAAAGAGGACTGGTTGACATTGGCGCATCCTATTGCTGCTTCTTTCTTACCTTTTTTTGCCCTCTGCCCCCCCACGCATCTCAACATGGACAAACCCATTGCCGACCACTGCGAGGCGGCGCTCGACAACGATGCCGACCTCAAGGCCAACCTTGTCGTGTCGGCAAAGGAATTCAATGGCGACGTCAACCTGATGCCCGACGATGGCACGTCCTACCTGATCCCGGCGCCGAGTCAGGATCCGCGGGACCCTCTCAACCTGCCGCTATACCGAAAGCTGGTGCGTCCCCTCTGACTGTACTACGATGCACGACTGCCATCGCATGCTCTAACAGCGCAGATCCTCCTGGGCGTCGTCTCGCTCTTCAGCTCCATTGGCCTCACCATGGTGAGCGGTCTGGTGAGTCCTGTGCTGTTGCACTCGACATCGACATCAACGTCGACAGCGATGGTCTGTCTCGCATACTGACGGACACGGTCAGGGCGGCATCCTCGGCATCTTTATCCCCGAATATGTCTCGCAAGGCTACGGCGTTGCCGACATCACCCGTGAGTTTTTTTGGGCTGTCGACATATAATATGGACAACGACCTGGCTAACTCGCCAGACTTGATGACCTACCCGACCCTGTTTATGGGTCTGGGAAACCTCGTCGGCATGCCCCTCGCCCTGGCCGTCGGCCGCCGCCCCGTCTATCTCGTGTCGTGCATCATCATGGTCGTCGCCGGCGTGTTGTGTGTCACCCAAAAGTCGTATTCGTGGCACCTGGGCGCCCGCATGACCATGGGCCTCGCGGCCGGGCAGAGCGAAGCCCTGTGTCCGCTCATGGTCCAGGAAATCACCTTTTTGCACGAGCGGTCGCGCTACCAGATGGTCTTCTCGGCGCTCGGCAACATCCTGACGACGGTGCTCGTGCTGCTCACGTCCTACATTGCCGCCAGCATCGGCGCATCCGGCTGGTACGGCCTGCTGACGGGCCTGGCGGGGCTGGTCCTGGTGCTCAGCGTGCTCTTTGTGCCCGAGACCAAGTACGAGCGGCCCCTGGCGGCGTACCAGGGCCAGGCGACACAGGTGGGCGCCTTTGCCGGGCAGACGGCGGTCGGCGACGACGCCGAATACGTGGTCACGCGCCTTAAAACGACCGACGAGCGCGTCCTCGACACCGTGCGGTACGCGCCGCGCACGTGGGCCTCCGACCTGCGCATCGTCGTGCACAAGCCCGACTGGCACAGGGGTCCCGCACCGTGGCGCGCATGCTGACCGTCATGTTCTTCCCGGACATGCTGTGGGGGTTTCTGCTCAACGGCCTGACGCTCGGCGTCAACGTCGCCATTGGCACCACGTACGGCAACATCCTGAGCGCCCCGCCCTACAGCTGGCCCGCCCAGAACATCTCGTTTGCCAACGCCGGCCAGATTATCGTGTCCCTCCTCAGCCTCGTCGTGCTGGGCTGGGGCTCCGACGCGCTGGTCCGCTTCTTCGCCCGCCGCAACGGCGGCGTCCACCAGCCCCAGTACCGCCTCGTGCCGCTCATCTTCCCCGCCATCGTCGGCACCATGGCCTCCATCCTCTACGGCCAGGCCGCCGCCCACCCCCAGCACATCCACTGGTTCGCCATTGTCTTTGCGCTCAACGCCTACTACTTTGCCTTTCTCGGCGCCAACCAGTCCGCCATTGTCTACGCCCTCGACGCCTACCCGACGCGCTCCGGCCCCGCGCTCGTCGTCATCTGCGCCTACCGCGGCATCCTCAGCTTCGGCACGTCCTATGCGGTGCAGCCCTTGATTGACCTGCGCGGCTACGACGGCGCCTTCTTGGTGTACGGCGTGCTGACGGGTGTCCTCGCCGCCCTGGGCATTCCCATCTACTTTTTCAGCGCGCGCATCCGGGCGTACTGCACAAAGTATACTATGTAGGATGTAGGCCGGCGTGGACTTGGGAGGGGGACAGTTCAAAGAACGTTGCTCGAGTTGGCTAATTTGAGCCATTCTATTGTTCTTTCTTTCGTGTACTTTCGTATATTAAATTATATTGTTATGCCGCATACGTTGCCATATCTCATCATGTTAACGCCACTGCAATATGGCTTTAAACCAACTCTGTATCGTTTGCGTATTGAGGCAGCTGCAAAGCATGTGAGTTCCGGGACCCTCGACGGAGATAGGAGAACAAAAGTGAGGTGCCCTCTTGGAGGTCTCTTACCTTTTCACGAATGCAGTCCACCACTTCTTGTGCAGAAGCAAACTCGGTCTTCCAGCATTTTTCGATGGTGTCGCCCAATGCCACATTGGACACATGCGCTTCTCCGTCTCGAACAGGGCCTTGTGGTCGTCGTCTTCGTAGGGCAGCTTGGCCACGACACCAGGTTTGTCGGTAAAGGTAAAGACCATGCTTGTGCCGCCGTGCATGAGTTGCTTGCCGCCCGCGGGACACCGGACCCCTCTTGTTGTCTGCGGCATGTTGCCCAAAACCGAAAAGGGGAAAAATCTTTTGAGCCTCAAAAGAGCTGTTGCTGGAGGCTGATTGGGCGAATGTAGGCGGCCAATGTGAGGCGGTGAGAATCACATAGTCGTGCAAAGAGTAAAGTCCCTAAGATTATCCGCTATTCCGGATATCAGGCCTGTCCAGCCAAAATACCACTCTGTGTTCAATAATGGTATTGTTTCCGGGTCTTACGTATGGTTGTTTTTTTTTTTTTTTTTTTTTTTTGGCCTATTCCCGTGAATTTGGTTTTCTTTTCTTTTTTTATAAAAAAAAATGAACATGAAATTTTGTAACATGGTTACTAAATACTTACCGCGTAACGATTAAGTGTAAATATGGTTATCCAACGCGTCAAACGATTGAAGATGATACGTGTACCTACTGCTATATTCACCATTGTCATTTATTGAACGATATTGTTACATTACCACCTATCCTTAGGCACTGTCCAATCCTGGATCTAAAAAGTTGACCGGTCCCATGGCATTCCAGAAAGCTTCGAGGTGGCCCATACCGTCCCCGTCGAGATCGAAAAATGCCATGTCCATGCCGGGCACAGCAGGAGCGTCATTGTCCTGGCCGGTCGGAGGAAGATTGGTCGTCACAGGGGCCACAACGCCACTCTCCCGTCTGTTCGGCGTCGACGCGACTGTTGCGGGCCCAGCGGACGGCGCCGGCGGTGTGACTGTGTGTTTTTCCGCAGCAGCGGCGACGCTGGTGCGCAGTGTCTCCAGGATGCGAACGAAGCCCGGATGCTGCCCCGCGCCACAATACTGGGTCTCGAGATGGAGCGTGGCCGAGGCCAGCAGCTCACAGTCGGCACGGACGAGCCGCTTGCCCGGCGCGCGCAGGATGTGCAGCGCCAACACGACGGCCGCCTGGAACGTCAGCGTGGGCGATATGATGTGGGACGACGCCGACGCGGCCACGCTGTCGGCGAGGTCCAGCACGCGGTGGATCGTGGACCGCGCCGCCGCGGTGCACAGACTTTCCGCCTGCAACAGGCGATGCTTGTTTCGGATGGGTGTCTGTGTCGGTGTCGGTGTCGTAGTCGGCGCGCCCTCGGGAAAGGCGCGCTCCACTTCCGCCGCAAAAGACCGCGTGGGAAAGACAATGGCGGCCCGCAGCACGGCCATCTGGGCCAGGTAGAAGTGGAGGGCCAAATAGGTGGTGAAAACCGCCGTCGACGGCGATGACACAGACAGAGACACATCGTATCCCGGCTTCAGCGGCTCCGGCAAGCCCGCGGACCACGCCTGCAGCTGCTCGTCGAGCTGGGCAATCTCGGTCAGCAGGACGACGGCGCTCGCCGGTTTCTGGACGTACAGACGGCGGCTGATCTGGCCGAGGATCGTGGACAGCGCCACCCACGGTGTGAAGATAGACGCAGGGTCGGCGGTGGGGGTGGGCTGCAGCAGAGGCAGTGGAGGCAGTGGCTCGTCGTTGGGAATGGCCGACGGCCGTCCCGTTTCCAGTTCCATGAGCTTTTCGAGGGCATACAGGGACCACCAGACGCGGCTCTGGAGCGTGGGTCCGGGTTCGGGTTCGGGTTCGGGTTCGGCGCTGCGGGAGGCGGCATCGGCGCCAACCTGTCGGTGCAGCCCGATGGAGTGAGCCACGCGCACAGCCTGGCCGACCAGATACCATGCCTGGCCGTCGCGGGCGCGCAACCGCAGCGCGACGGCGAGCAGCAGCATGGACTGGACGCTGCGCAGATACGGCCGCGCAATGAGATGGGCCACCAGCCCAAAGCCGGCCGTGATGTACACCAAGCCCGACTCTGTGTCGTCGAGCGAGCCGCCCCCCTCGCCCTCGCCGGCGCCGATGGCGAGCACGGCGAGCAGCACGACGAGGCCGGGCACGTCGTCGTGCGCGAGGACAGACAGCAAGCTGGCCCCGTCCGGCAGTGTCTGCTCCAGCCCGCCCACGTGCCGCAGGTCCTGCTCGACGGTCGCGCGGTCCACGACCGGATAGAGCGGCCACACGCGGTCGAAAAAAACGTCCAACGATGCGCGGCAGGCACCCGCCGGGGGCAGCCGGGGCACCGCCGCCACGAGGGGCAGCGAAAACTCCTCGGCGTGCCGCATGCCGCTCGTAAACGCCGTCGACACCAGCGGCAGCCGCTTGCGCCGCAGAAAAATGTCGACAAACCCGGCCAGACACTGCAGGCTGCTGCCGCCCATGTACTTGACGCGGTGCGGCGCCGCGTCGTCGGTGTTGACCACGACGTCAGCGTCGTAGCTGCTGGTGGTCGCAACGGTCGTGGGTCCCGTAGCGTGGACACTGTCGTGGGCGTTGTCGTTGTCGGTGTGGCTCGTGGGGCCGTTGGCGCTGCTGACTCCATCGCCGCCTCTGCCCGCCTCTGCCTGCGCCTCGGCGGTCTCGGAGTACTGGTAGCTCCGCGACACCCAGGAGATTGGAGGAGGTGACGCCGCCGGTGTCGATGCGCCGACAACAATCGTCGACGGCCGTCTTGGTCGCGGAGGCGATGCATGGTGTTGGGTGGGAGGCGTTTCCGGCGGGGGCGGTGGGTATGCAGGTGCGTGCGTTTGTACAGTCGTCTGTGTCACCGGCCCATGTTTGGCCACATATGCGTGGTTGCGATGCGTGGCGGCCGGATTCTGCCCCGGCATCAGGCCATTTGGCGTCGCCCAGCGCCGGATCTGCGGCCGTCCGCGTTCGTCGCCGTTCCCATTGGGTCCTCCATCTCCATTGCCACTGGAGGGCGTGTACCGCGGGTCCGTTGTGAGGCACTCCTCGTCGCGCAGCCAGCAATTGCGGCACTTGGGCTGCTCGGTGTCGCACTTGACTTTGCGCCGCCGGCAGTTGTTGCACGCGAGGTTGAGGCGGATGCGTTTGGCCGGGCGGGCCGTCGACGAACTGGTGGACGTCGCTGTTGTCGTGCCTGTACTCGAGGGGGCGCTGTGGCTGCTGTGGCTGTGCGCCGGGGACAAATTATCCATGGTGTCAAGAGACTGAGCAGGGAGTAGGACGTACGTCGAGGGTCGCCGTGTCAGAGACGCAACTCACAACTGGCTACTCCACGGTTGGCCCGCGGGAGGTTCGGTTCATATATGGTCCATCGTTGCATCGACCTCCACAACCCGGCCCGACAGGCAGAGACTGCTGCAAGTGGAATGGTGTAGGAGGCTAGACGCAGCCGCCAGCTTTCCATTGACCAGTCAGCGGCTAGTGATTTGGGAGCTCAGGTCGACTAGTTGGCGATAAATGGCCCCTGTGACGCTGTCACGCGGCCACTCTAGTCAATCCCAGGCATGGTAAGGTCCGAATAAAACGCAGAGACAGAAAAATAAATCGTACTCAATGAGCGAGGCCGCACGATCGGGCCACAGCCCGTTACATGCCCTACATACAATTCGTTGTTCAATTTGATACACTATCTCTAGCTTTTACCAAACATAAACCCCTTAAGCCTCATCACCTTAGTAGAGTTTCAACTGTTGCGGAAGGTGCTGTGTAACACCGGAGCCCGTCTCCTCGGACGGACGGCCAGTGATACATTGGACTTCATCGCGCCCAGAATCGCCCAGAATCGATCCTGAGATTCATGTGCTTATGTTTACCTGATGGCATTAACCAGGCGACTGCCCAGGCGACTGCCCCCCGACACCGCCCCATGCGCCTTGAGCAGCTGGATGATCTTGTCGTTCCCCACAGCCGTCGCCACGTCCAGCGGCAGGTTCTGCATGGGCTGATTCGCAATGGCCCCGTGCTGCAGCAACAACCCCACCACGTCCACGTTTTCTTTCTGCACCGCCAGTGTCAGCGGCGTGCGGCCTTCCTTGTCGACCAGGTTGGCGTTGGCGCCGTGTCGCAGCGCCATCGTCGCGAGGGCCAACTGCGCATGATCAATGGCGTACGTGAGGAGCATCGGCTCACCGGGCACCTTGTCCAGGCGCTGGTTCGGGTTTGCCCCCTGCTTCAGGAGGAGCTCCGGTATCCGGAGCTCTGTCTCGCCGACAGACGCGGTCGGCGTGCCTTCCAAGAGATCCAAGACAGGGGCCATGGCGTGCTCGAGCGCCGAGACCCCGTAGACGTCTTTCGTGTTGCCAAGCGCGCCATGTTGGAGAAGCAGTTCCGCCAGGGCCGCCCGGTCGGCTACGGCGAGCGTCTTGTCACACAGTATGTTGACGACCAAATGCTGGCCATACAAGTCCCGTGTATTCGGATCGGCCCGTCGCTCGAGGAGCGTCGTCACCAAGGCGCGGTCGTTGTGCTTCACGGCCGTCTCGAGCAGCGAGACACCGGAGGCATCGCATGCGTTGGGATCTGCGCCCGCGGCGAGGAGCTCGCGCACAAGCGCGTCGCGCTTCTGCTGCACGCAGACGTGGACAAGGGGCGTGCCGTCTGCGTCGCTCGCGTCGGGCTTCGCGCCGAAACGGAGGAGCAGGCGTACCACGTCCTCGCGATCCTCGTGCTTCTTGCGCTTCTGCAGCGCCAGGAGCACGACCGGCCGCCCTTGCCCGTCCTTGGCGCAGGGGTCGGCACCGCACGAGAGCAGCAGCTCGATCCACGCGGGCACTGTGTCGCCGGTCACGAGATGTACAAAGTGTGGCTCACCATAGCCGTCGTTCTGGTTGGCGGCGGCACCGTACTGTAGGAGCAAGCTGGCTGCTGCCCTGTTCTCCGCATCAATGGCGTGGAAGAGAGGTGGCCAGTGCTTGCTCCCCGCATCGCAAATGCTACAGTACGCCCCGGCCTTGAGCAGGCACTGCATAGCATCCAACTGGCCAGCAATGATGGCGCAAATGAGGGCGGTGTGGCCGTCCTCGTTGCGCCCGTTGATGTTGGCTCCTTCGTTCAGCAGCGCCGTCAGCTGGGGTACGTTGCCCGCCGTGGCGGCGTGACAGAGTGGCACCACGAAGGGTTCCGGTTTGGGCCGTAGAGCGGCGGTTGCGGCTTTGAATGGGTTGGCCAGCGAGCTTAAAAAGCCGCCGGACGATTCACTTTTGGTTTTGTTGCTACTGTTACCTGGGTCGCCGGCTTCGGCGAGCGGCGGTCTTCCGTAGGCAGAGCTGGAGGCTTCATCAAAAGGAGGGGGCGGCTGAAGATCATCGTATGCAGGGGAGGGCGTGTCGAGCGTGTTTTGCTTCGAAGAGGAGGGGTTGTTGGGCCTGGTCTGTACATCCAAGATACCATCCGACCGTACGATCGCCTGACACGTAGATGCCAACCCAGCCATGAAGAATTTGGCGTCTTCAACCCCGAGCTTAGCCTCTTGGACTTGGTCCGAGTCACTGGGCGGCACCGCGTATTAGCAATGTATAATGTATGAATGTCAGGTAAGAGAGACAACGATGGCAGGTTCCTTACATGGAGAGCAGCTGCGTGGCAAAGAAGAGAAACCTCATAGTGGATTCCAAGAACGACTCGTACTGGAGGACGGCTGCCACATTGATCGCGTCCTTTGGCGTAGTCGTCCCAACTCGCATGAGTTCCTTCACCACAATGGCGGCCGTGGCATCACACTTGGACACGTGAGCCAATATGACGGTCCGAAGCTTGGCCGATATGGCTGGTGCTGTTCGCAGCTCTGCCTGTAGCTGGTCCGTATCCTTGCTCAGCTGTTGCAACTTTGCCGTTAGTAGTCGAAGCCTTTGAAATACTGTTGCGCCGGTCTCGTCGGTTGAGTCGAGAAAGTTGCTTTCTATCTCCGCGGCCCCGGACAAGGCCCCTTTTGCCAGACTCGAGCAAGCCGAGATAAGGCTGGTCTCGGGAGCGTCGCCCATGTTGTCTAGATATGGTCGGTTCGAAGCCTAGTTGAGAAGTGGGTCAACGATAAATTCAATGACTGGGCGTTTAGTTTAAGGGGATCACTGACGTACCGACATCTCCAATCGACGAGATTAGCGTGGTGGGGTCTTATAGTGAGTGGGCATCTTCAATTGCGGGGTATTCATGCCCCCCTTAGATTTGGGCTTGCGTGGCGGCTGACGCGGTGGTCCAGGAACCAATGTTGCCTAGGTATATACTCGTTTTTCGTATTAGGATCCTTGTAAAATAAACCTTAACTTGCTTATCTACGACTCCGAGCTTCCTGAGAGAAAGAACATCCAGACTAGACAAGCTGAGAATGTAGAGTTTAATCGCATTTATTGAGATAATCCTGACTATTTGCGCCTGTGTTGCATAATCCTATAATAGAAAACCCTCATGGGGAAGAAAAACTACTTTGGAACTCTGTGTCGTGCTCGAGAATTGTGCCGACACACGTCATGGTGATATCGCGTACTGAATCTTGATCTTGCCTGAGGATCCATATTGAAACCCCGTGTGGCTTGCGCGTCTTTTGGCAGGGCCCATTTCAGCCTCTTGTAGCTTACGCGTCTGTTACTGGGTCCAATTTCAGGCCCTTTGTGGCTTGGATCTACAACCCCATACCGCCAAATGATGTAGCCGTAGCCCGTCACCATCAGCCGAAAGCCCAATTTGGGAGGAGAGGAGGGAGAGGAGAGAGTGAGGCGGGGACAGTGAGACAGTAAGTGATCTCGCGTCTTCTCTTTTAATTGGTCCTAGCGACCATGATGTGCTAGCCACGTTTGTGCTGTTCCACCTTCGTTTACTTGCACACCCTGTCTCCATGTATACCAACCACGCAGCCGTACCTGCGATTACCAACGGCCGTCCTTCTGCGCGGTCTGTCGTCACGCAGCACGCCTCCTCTTCAACCAGTCCACGGCGCCGTCATAGTCGCAGTTGAACTGCAAGAACTGGCCCGGGTCCAGTGTCACCTTTTGCGAGCCCGACTCCGTCGCCGGCTTCGCCTGCTGTCGACTGTACGCCTGAATCAAACTGACACGGTCGTAGCGCGCCTCCCACACCTTTTGCAGAACGTTGCTGATCTCCTGCTCCGTCGGTTTTGTCGGCCTCGGCCCAACCTCCGCCAAGAACGCGGCTAGTGCCTCGGCGTCCTCGACACTCTGGCTCGCGCCCTGGCCTTGGGTCGGCAGCATCGCATGCGCGGCATCGCCAATCAAGACAACACGGCCTCGCGTCCACCGCGGCAGCGGATCCAAGTCGCGCAGCTGCCACAGGCCAATGTCATCGTCAGAGGCAGCCTCAAACAAGTCCATCAGCCATGGGGCGAAACCAGCAAACGCAGCCTTGAGCTCGGCTTTGCTGCCCGCCCGGACCCAGCTGCTGTCGTTGTCCTCCTTTTTATCCTCGCTGGCGCTCGCGTCCTTTGCGCCGCCGCTGTCCGGCACCAGGGCCACGAGCCCATAGAGCGCGCCGCCCCGGCCCGGCCCCATAATCACGCGTCTGTCGCCGCCCACGACCATGGACGTAATGGCCGGATCGCTGACCGTGACGGACGGCGGCAGGCCCGCCACCTCGTCGAGAAGCGACCGCGGCATCAGCACGCGGTACGCCGACAGGCCCGTGGGGATGGGCGGGTACTGCGCCGCCTGCGCGCCCAGCACGCTGCTGCGCACGACCGACTTGATGCCGTCCGCGCCCACGACGAGATCCCCCTGCAGCCGGGTCCCGTCGGCCAGCACGACAACGCCGTCCTCGGGGCGGCACGAGACGACCGCCGCCGCCGTGCGGATCTCGACGGGCGCGCCCGGCAGCACGCCCGAATCGCTCACGGCGGCATCCCGCAGCGCGGCGTGCAGGTCCTGCCGGTGGTAGAGCACCCGGTCGGCGCCAAAGCGCGCCGTGTCCAGGGGCAGCTCGCGCACGACGTGGCCCGCCTGGTCGAACATGCGGAACCCGCGGTCCACGAGAGGCGACGCCGTTGCGAGGAACGGGTCCAGCCCCAGCTTGGTGACAATCTTGCTCGCATTGGGCTGCAGCGAGATGAGCGCCCCGACTTCGTGGAGCATGCGCGAGCGCTCGAGGACGGTGATGTGACGACGGGGGGCGCGAAGGGCAATGGCCTAGGGAGCATGTCGATTAGCATGTACAAGTGTGGTGGGATACAGGCTCCATGAACCAGATCCTATTAGGAGTCGGGGTCCTACCGCAACCAACCCGGCAATGCCGCCGCCGACAATGATAATGTGGAACTGGTCGCCGTGGCTGCCCATCGTGTCGTGATGTGTGATGTGATACGTCATTGGGGTATTGGAGACATTGGGAGAGGAACCTATCGGCAGGTCTACTGTTTTATTTTGTACGAGCAACAGGCAAACAGACCCACATGCATTGGGGCCCCTGCCGTACGTATCGGCTCCAAATTCAATAGCTTGAGTTGGCGACGAGACTTGCTTGTGGTATTTTTTATTATTCCGCAGCGTTGTTCGGACCAGCTGCTTTGCTCGACTTATACTAGTGCTGTCCGGCCTGATTCCGAACCGAGCCGAATACAACGACTCGTCACAAGCTCTTCGTGCGGGGAATCCTGCAATGTGAACTGCCGTGAACCCGGTTGTGGATATCCATTCATGACTAGTGTTTCTTCCTTTGTTGAGGGCTCGTCCATTCCTTCGGCAATGACACGCGGCATAGTTCACGAATATGGTCTTTGGTATGTACAGTGGTAGTAATTTAAACGTATGTCTACTATGCTTACTCAAGTACCACAACTCTACTCTACTCAGCCAAGACAGAATCACTCGTGAACATGACCACCCGTCGGCTTGCCCACGTAGGGTAGACTCACCGACGTCGGGTACTGCCCACCAAAGTAGATGGTGTGCTCGCCCTTGTTGAGCTCGTGGTCGGGGCGAGGCGCCGACCAGCGGCTAAACTCGGCGGCCGTCGGGTTCTGCCCGCTGATGCGCACAGAAATGCTCTCGCCGGCATCGTAGTCGACGCCCAGGCTAAAGAGGCCAATCTCGAGCTTGACGACGGTGCCGGGAGGTACCTTGTCTTCCTTGTCGTGCGGGTGGAAGGGGAAGTTGGGGTGGATGCTGCGGGACGCGTCAATGGCGCGGTGGGAGGCGCGCAGGATGCCCATCTGGCCGTAGTGGGTGTTGACGCTCTGGGTCTGGGCGTCGTCGAGCTCGGCGACCGAGTTGATCGGCGCGGCGTGCAGCGGGAAGTTGAGGTGCACCATGTCCTTGCCGCTGCGGTCCTTTTTGCGGAGGATGACAAAGAGGACAAAGTCGTCGCGCGTGGCCGACGCGGCAAAGACGGTGACCTTGGGAATGCCGAGCAGGCGGGCGGGCTCGTCGAAGGTGTGCGTGAACTCGATCCAGGCGTTCTTGTCCTCGGCGTTGTACGTGAGCGTCTGGACCGCCGCGGGGGCGGCGTCCACGAGCCGGCCGCCCGCGCCCGCAAACAGCTCCAGGTACTGCGTGTCGGGCACCGGCCAGGCGGCGAGCTCAATGTCGTGCACGGGCGGCGCGTCGCCAAAGGGCAGCGTCGTCCAGCGCACCTTGGGGGTGTCCGTCTCCCAGCCGTTGTCTTTTTGGTCGCGCAGGTAAAAGTCAAAGAAGTGCTGCAGCTGCGTCGCCGACTCCGGCACGCTGTACAGCTCGTACCACTCCTGGTACGCGCCCCACTGGATCCATTTCTTGTCGTGCGGGATCTCGAGCCACGCCCGGATCGCGCCCATGTTGTGCAGGTTGCTGACGTCGGACCCGCGGATGTACGCCGGGCACTGGATCCGCGTCATGTCCACGCGCTTGTCGGCCCACCACGCGTTGATGGTCGGGCTGCGCCGGTACATTTCCGCAAAGTCTTCGACGCCCGACGCCGCCGGCCCGCGCAAAATCTCGGCCGTGATGAGGTCAAAGTTGGACATGCTGAACCACCCGCCGCGCACAAACTGCTCCCGGTACAGGTCACTCAGGCCTTCCCACGGCGCAATCGCCGCCAGCGACGGCGGCTGCTGCGCCGCCGCGTACCACTGCGCAATCGCGAGACACGAGTTGCCCGCCATGCCCACCTTGCCGCTGCACCACGGCAGCGCCGCCACGGCCTCGATGACGTCGTACATGTCCTCGGCGTCCTGCGAGCCCAGGACGCAAATGTGCCCGTCGCTGTTGCCCGCGCCCCGCGCGTCCACGCTCACCACCGCGTACCCTTTCGGGCACCACACCGCCGGGTCGAGCCCCTCAAACTTTTCCAGGCCGCTGAGGTCCGACCGCTTGACGCACGAGTGCCACACCGTCATCGGCAGCATGTCCAGCGAGCTGTATTTCTTGCCATACGGAGACCATCCCAGGATGGCGGGCACTTTCTCCGTGGTGTCGCCTGAGCCCTCTGGGCGATAGACGTCAATGTAGAGCCGCGCACCGTCGCGTACGACGATTTCGACGTCGTGGTCGAGACGAATGTCGCTCGTCAGGGCGCGCGTGTCCGGGCCAAATGGCTGTGCGCCGGCCTTGAAGAGTTCCGTCTCGCCCGGACGGAAGCCCGAGAAGCCATTCTCGCCGACCTTGCGCTCCTTGATGCGCTTGACCGCAGTCTGCACGGCGACGGGCATGATGTCGAGGGAAAAGAGTGTTCGTTTGAACAGCTGTCTAGAAGTGAAGGATGTGGTTAGGGTAGCACGGAAAGGGCAGGAGCTGGAACGGAGCTGGAAGAGAAAGAAAGAGCTATGCAAAGTTATCGCAGTCTGTAGATGGAAGGAGCGGTTGAGAGACAGATTGTGCTGCTTCGTAGTCTCATAGCCAGTCAACGTGAACGGCAAACAACCACAACTCCATATATACATGCATCAAGACAATGCCACAACAAGACTGCAATACGAACAGCCTCTGTCTCCATCTAAGCTCCCCGCATTAACTCCTCGGCCGCATAGCAGCCATACTTGTACTAGGCCCACCCCTCACGTATC